GCCAGCTTTTCGTCTTACTTTCTACCCCGATCACAGTCGATTCGGCCGCCCATTCCCACCCTCACATCCTCACATCCATCATGGCGACTGTGCTCGGCCACGATGACTTGGGGCTCGACTTGTCCTTCAGCCCCCTTGGCAACGACTTGGCCCTCTCCCCAACCACGCCAATAGACGCTGGCGCAGGAAACGACGATGCAGGTAAGTGATGCGATCATTTCTGCATTTTGTGCTTACCCGTCCGCCCATGTCATTCTAGGTCAACCACCCGCAATGGAGCCGTTCGTAGCTGACCCCCGCCTCCTCATCAGGCTCATCAATCACAGTAAACACAAGAGTACCGGCAGCTGCATCTGCCCCGGCAACAGCACCTGCGGCTACGCCGACAACGGCAGCAGCAGCGCAGTTCCCCGCACCAAAGACGGACAAGCCGCGACCTCATGTTTGCACAACATGCCAGCGGTCCTTTGCCCGACTGGAGCACTTAAAGCGCCACGAACGGTCCCACACCAAGGAGAAGCCGTTTGAGTGCGATCAGTGCACAAGGTGCTTCGCACGGCGCGATCTCCTGCTGCGGCACCAACAGAAGCTGCATCAGGCGACAACTGCGCCCGCACGGCCGCGGAACCGGCGCGAGAGCACCACAGGTGTGGCCCCCAGCCGTGCACGGAAGAGCAGCATGGCGAGCACAAGTGGCGCCGGCTCCGTGGCGGCTTCTCTCCTCGGTGGCGGAAATGATGGGAACGGTGGCGCCGCAAACAACCAGATGCGGCCCCGCGCCAACACCATCAGCCACTTGGATGCTACCGCGATGCATTTTATGGGCGGCGCGCCCGCCAATGCTGCCCTGGCACGGGGCATGCCGCCTGGTGTCCATTCTCGTCACCCGAGTCTGGCGGGCTTGCCGATGCACGGCATGGAGCAGGTTCCGATGCAGCCCTCTGCCTTTGCCAGCGGCATGTCCTCTGCCATGGGACACCGCGGGATGGCCAATGGCTTGCCGAGGCTCGACACGCACGGCCTCGACAACCTGGATCTCTCGGGCGGCATGCGAACAGCCCCGTTGAACAACACGACCATGTTCAACTCGGAGTTTGACTTTGGGACCTCCTCGTATGGCCATACGGCGTCTGGCACGACCATTAACCCTAGTGCCCTGCAGTACAGTGACTCGCCGCATTCGGCCCACCTCGACCCGACGGCCATCTACGACCGCATGAGCGGCTACAACGACATGCACCAGACCCGGGACAGCTTCAGCTGGCTGACCGGCTTGACCCACCCGAACGGCTTTTCTTCTACCATTGACGAAAACGCCGTCGATGGTTCCTCGCCGTCTGCCATCAGCACTGGCAGCCAGAGTGGCATAAGTGATGTCATGCTGGACGGTTCGAACCACGTCAACATCAATGGCGCCCATGCTGTCACCATGGCACCACCAGCCTCGTCCGCCGCTCACACCATGCCCGCTACGACGCTTTCCATGTGGCCCACGAATGGTACCATGGTCCACCAGCAACTGAACCAAAACAGCTACTCTCTGGACTTTGGGAATACATCTTTCTCGGATCTCCTGGGTGGATTGCCTCTGTCTCCCAACGGACTGCACAGCGTCCACACGCCCTTGACGGCCACCACCACCGCGCCGCCTGGGAACACAGATACCTACTTCTCCGCCACTCCTCCCTCGTCTCTGACCGCTGCCAGCCCCACGATGATGTCGGGCCTCAACCATACTACTTTTACCCAGGCCATGAGCCTCAACGGAGGCACGGCCCCGGAAACGCCCAATTCTATGAATGGCAGTACTAGTGTCAGCAGCACCGGCCAGAACCACCACCGCCACTACCAGGCTTCGTTGAACACCAGCTCACCAGTGTCTACTATTACAGATGCAACAAGGCTGGCTATCGTAAACGCTCTCAACTCAGCAGGATCCCAGACCTCCCCCTTTGGAATGCGCCAATATTCGTTTCACGGATCCGCCACGGCCACAGGACTCGCAACAAGCCCCGAACAATGTGTCCCCTCGACACTGGACCTCCAGAAATACGTCGGCGCCTACCTTCGCTACTTCCAACCGCACTTTCCCTTCCTCCACGTACCGACCATATCCTTCGACGTCACTTCCAACACACCCTCCCCCTCCTCCCCCCAGAACCACCTTGGCGGCGGCTACGACGCCAATACCGTCGGCGGCAGCGGCTGTCTGATCCTCTCTATGGCGGCTATCGGTGCCCTGTACGAACTCGAACACGACCAGTCTCGCCTGCTCTTCACGATGGCCAAGCGCATGATTCAGCTGTACCTCGATGAGCGTCGCAAGGCCAACGTCCGCAAGGCCGATTTCCGGCGGACACCGGGCGGCGACACCCAAATGCAGCACAATGACGGCTCGTCCGACACGCCAGTGTGGCTCGTGCAGGCCATGCTGCTGAACGTGATTTACGGTCACAACGGCTCGGACAAGCGCGCCGGCGAGATTGCCGCGACGCACTGCGCAGCGCTGGTGAGCCTCGCACAGGGCGCAGAGCTTCTGCAGCCAACACGCGTCGAGCCTCCTGTCGACGAGTTCGACATGACGGTAGGTGACGGCATTGAGCCCAGCAGCCTCTGGAACACAGACGATGGCTCAGCCAAAGCAGCCAAGGACCAGACACAGTGGCTTCGCTGGAAGGCGATGGAGGAGCGCAAACGGACTCTGTACGCCATTTTCGTGTTTTCCAGTCTCCTGGTGTCCTCCTACAACCATACGCCCGCCTTGACAAACTCGGAAATTATGCTGGACCTGCCGTGTGACGAAGACTTCTTTTCTGCCACGACCTGTGCCGAGTTCATGTCCAAGGGCGGCATTGCCGCAGCGAATCACAACCGTATGACCTTCCACGAAGCGCTGGGCGACCTCCTCCGTTCCAGCGAGAAGCAGATGCGCCGCCGCGACAGCGCCAACGCAGACGGCAGCAATGTGGACAGCGCTCCGGGCGAGCTCAAGCCCAGCACCTTTGGCTGCTTCATTCTGATCAATGCCCTGCACAACTACATCTGGGAAACGCGCCAGCGTCACCACAACAAGGTATGGACAAACGAAGAGACCGAGAAGATGCACCGCCACATCGAGCCTGCCTTGGAGGCCTGGCACCGCGCTTGGATGAACAACAACAACCGCCGCCACGCCAGCAACAGCGTGCACCTGGCCAACCCGACTTCGGTTTCTGGTATGGACCCCATCGCGGTGGACGCGGTCCCTCTGTTGGATTTGGCGTACGTGCGTCTCTTTGTCAACCTGGCTCGGTCCAAGGAGAAGTTCTGGCAACGCAACTGGGACGGCCTTGCCGAGGAGCTGTGCCACGGCCGGGAAATTGTCCAACATGCCGAGCAGTCGCCCGCATCCAATGCCGAGTCTGCCTTGACCGACCCGTCCTCTGACCTCTCTGGCCATGGATCGTCCATTTTCATCGATTCGCCCGCCACACAACTGTCGGCGTCGCCTGACTTTGGGGCGGGCAAGTTCCCGGTCTCGGTTGCCCAGGCTGGCAGCCAGCAGCAACAGCAACAGCAACAGCATCAGTCCACCCGCACAACGTCGCGGCGCGAAAAGCATCTCAGGAAAGCTGCCGTGTACGCCGTGGAAGCGCTTTCGATGACGAACAAGGTCGGCTATACACTGGCGGACTTTTCAAACCGTGAACTGCCGCTGCAGTCGGCACTGTGTGTCTTTGACTGTGCGCAGGTTCTGGCGGAGTGGGTGGCGACTCTCCAGGACCGCGTCGGGCGGTATCTCGGCGTGCTGGACCAGGACGTGGACCTCAACCAGGTGCCGGCGATCATGCTCCTCGAAGAGGAAGATGGCAAGCTGCTCGGAAAGGTCAGGGAGGTGCTGAGTGCGGCCGAGATGACCATGAACATGGACATTGCCAACGGCACGGGCAACGCGGTCGCGGGCATTTCGACGCGCATGGCGTCGCGCATGCAGATGGGCGAGCAGATTGGCTACGGTGCCAAGATCCTGAGCATTACTGCGTACACCTTGGGAAAGGCATCTGTCTGGCCTGGTAAGTTGAAGTCGGAGCTTGGAGCAAATCCCCGTTACGGTGGTCGTCCACCTCTGTACCTCTCGTCACTAACATTGTTCCACAGTCACCCACCTCATGGCCGAGTGCCTCGAGAATCACGCCAGCCACATGCGCGCGCGCGCCGAAAAATCAGTTCTGGCCTGCGACTAGGATGATGGCTTTCGACAGACACAACTGTGTATTCAGCAAACCAACTGCAAACTGCATGTGATGTTGCACAACTTTTCCGCATATACGACTTTTTCTCGTGTTGAGAGCATCTATGACCCTTTTGTTTTGAATATTCTGAAACGATCCTATTCGCAAAGTATACCAGCGGTGGCTGTTTATCTCCTTCTTGCATGTACTTGTTTCCAATTTCTCCGGGGCGGTTGGATTGGGTTTGTTTCGTTTCGATGCGTTTTTACCTCATTTGGTGGATTTATGTTTCTTTTTGTACAAATAAAACGAACGACGGTGGCAGGCCAAAATGGAGGCCTGACCGGTTGTGGGACGAGGTGAGGCGAGAAAACAGTGTTCTGGCTCGAGGGAAGAAGACCAGGACCCTCTGCCTGCTTGGGAATACCCTCTGTTATGATGGACGTGTTCTATGTGTATCATATATCGTTATGAATTCTAGAGTTAGAAATAGTTTCGGAAATGGTTATTTGATGGCGCGAAGTGACATGTGTGATGAGCAGTCGGGACATAAGAGTTTAAGGTTTCTTTTTGCAGTAATCGGAGGCTTCGCACTACTGAGTACATTCAGCAGGTGACCAGCGATGGAGTGGGTAGCGACTGCCGATAAGAAGCTTCTCCGCGCCTGCCAAGTCTTGACCTGGCGCCTCTCCGCATTTTGTCCTGTTTATGTTCCCAATACGAAATAATTACTTCGCCTTCTCCAGACACTCAATTCACCAACGCAGCGACAGGACCACGACCGTTGTCATGCCCGCGGTACAACACCGACGCTCCCGTGCGGGCTGCCACCGCTGCCGGCAACAGCACAAGCGCTGCGACCAGCACAAGCCGGCGTGCGTGCGGTGCCAACAGGCGGGCAGCGCGTGCAGTTATGCGCTCAACATTCAATGGGGCGGCCGGGCGTTTCCCAAGATGATGGGCAGCTATGCCGGCCGGGTCCAGCGGCTGAGCAATGGCGGCAGCAGCGGTGCGCTGGACATGGACGGGCGTGGGGGGTTCGTCTACATTGCGCAGCCGTCACCACCCGCGCCGGCAGCACGCCCACGGCCCGACCGACCCCGGCGGCCGAGACGAGACGAGCCACGTCCCACGGCCAGAAGAACGTCACCACCACCCAGTGCAATGGAAGACGCTCCTGCGTGCGACCCAAACGGCGTCACGACCGTGTCGCGACGGCCGACGTCAGTCTTCTTGGCCCCCCAGATCGACATGCCCGAGCTCTCGCCGTCCAGCCTCTCCCCCTTGCACCGGTTCCTGTTCCACCACTACATGCACGAGACCATTCGGCTCACGGCGCCCAGCGACTATGCGCGCACGGAAATCTGCCGCCTCGTCGTGCCCATGTCGTTCCGCCACCCGTGCCTGCTGTACGCCGTCCTCGCGTTTGGTGCACGGCACGTGCACGCGCTGGGCGGCTTCCCGGTGGGCGTGCCGGGCGACCGCTTGATTATGGAGCTCGAGGACGAGAGCATGCGGCACCTGCGGCAGCAGCTGTCGGACGGCCCGCACCTGCACCAGCATGCCTCGGTCGCGCTGGCCACGACCCGGACGCTCTGCCAGTCGCAAATCTTTGCCACGGGCCACGCCTGGCGGACGCACCTGGAGGGGGCACGAGCCATTCTGCAAGCTGTGGGCGACGCGCAAAAGACAGCACCACACACCAAATTGTCGTCGTCGTCATCGTCATCGTCGTCGTCGTTAGAATCAGAGCTGGAAGTGTTTTTGGCCAGCTGGTACGACAACGTGGAGGCACAGGCGGCACTGACACCGCTCGGCTTGCGTCGAGGCCAGTTGGAGATGGCGCATACGCGACGGAACAGCGTCCGACCGCGGACGAAGAACAGCGAGGACGTCTACTTTGACGTGTTTGGCGGCGTGGCCTCGGACGTGCCGGACCTGATACGCGAGGTGGGGGCGCTGGTCATGGAGAAGCGGCGCTCTATGAAAGGGGGCAGCGAGAGACGGGTGGTTGACGCTGAGCATGATGAGAAGGAGCAGGACGACGACCAAGCCGACTGTATTCTGTCTGCGGACGACATTGCCCGCGAGGCCGAAGCGCTCGTCAGCGCCATCCACGTCCGTCTCCAGCGGGACGCCGTTGGCAACACCCTGCGCCGCCTGCAAAGCGACGACCGCGTGGCCCGCTCGCTGCCTCGCGATGCCATGCACGACTACGCCCTGAGCAACGCGGGGTTCTTGCATACGGCCCTGCTGTACATTCACGGTGCCGTGCAGGGCCTGCCGCCGACGGCGCCGTGCATTCAGCACTCGGTGCAGCAGATCCTCTGGGCCTCGGACAACATGCGGTCGCCGTCGGCTCCGCTGTCCCCGCGTGTGCTCATGGCCACGCCTCTCTTCTCGGCCGGGCTGTGGGCCCTGCCTGACGCCCAAGTCGCGATCCAACGGTCGTTTGCCGCCATGGGCATGTGGATGCGGACGCCGCACAATCGGCGGTCGGCGGCACTCCTGGCATACGTGTGGAGCAAGACAGCGGCGAGCCCGGAGGCATGCCACGATGTGCTGACATACTTGGGTACGTGGAGCCCGGTTCTCCGTTCAGAGACGGTGTGTATAACGTCGACTAACAGCCAACAGAGGAAATGGAAAATTCCGAGTTTCTGCCATACTGAGAGGATCCTTCAACCAGCACGAAATTACTGCAACAAACGACGAGTAACGACGGGTGACGACGAATATGACAGCATATATGACGAACGAGATTGAATTAAATTTGCAAGATTCATTACTATCTACAAGTTCTTCCCCCCTCAAGCCATTGGCGACTACAAGCTCCCTTTGGCTGGCTCCCTCGGAATGAACCTGAGCAGACACGACTGGTCCTTGGGCCGCGACGAGATGATCTGATCGGACATGGACATGTCGGCGGGCGGCTTCCCGTCGGTGTCGGCCAGCACGGTCTGGAACTGGCTGTAGACGTCGCGCAGCAGCAGCTTCATCTCGGCCATGGCCAGGTGGCGGCCGAGACAGCCGCGGCCGCCGTTGGAGAAGGCAAAGAAGCGGCGATTCATCTCGGCATCGAGCTCTGCGTCCGCACCCAGCCACCGCTCCGGGTCAAAGGCGTCCGGCCGCGAAAAGACAGCCTCATCGAAGCGGTGCATCGTGTATGGCTGGCAGCTCACAATGGTGCCGGCGGGCAGCCAGGTGCCGTCGACCTCGCGGCCGCCGGCGGGGACGTACCGCGGCAGACTCATGGGGATGGAGGGGAAGACGCGCAGCCCCTCTTTGAGGACGGCATGGAGATAGGGCAGGCTGTCGTACGCCGACGGGTTCGGGCTCGCACCCTGTAGTTCATGGTACAGGCGGGTCTGCATGGCCTGGCTCTCGGGCAGGGACAGCTGCCACATCAGCCAGCAGAGCACGTCGCCGGTGGTCTCGATGCCGGCGGCCATGTGGTCCATGCACTCGGCGGCCATTTGCATGCGCGTGAGGCCGAGCGACGGGTCCTGCAGGCGGGCCAGCAGCGTGAAGCGGGCGGCCGCCGCGCCGCCCTCCGCCTTGGCGTCGCCGGCCGCACGGCTGTCGCCCACGGCCGCCAACGACGAGTCGACGGCGTCCAGCACGATTTGCTTGGCGCGCGGGATGGACCGCTGCGGCGGAAGCAGGCCGAGGGCGTCGGCGACGCGCTCGAGCGGGCGGCTGTAGTACTCGAGCAGGCGGCGGGCCAGGCTGTTGTCAAACGACACCTCGCGCATAATGGCCTCGTCGGCGGCGTCGCGCAGGGCGTCGCTGCCGTGCGGGTGGAACAGGTGGTGCGTCACGCCGTCAAAGGCGTAGCTGTGCAGCGCAATGTACGTGTCGAGCACGCCGTCGGGGGCGGCTGCCGCCGCGCGCTGCGTGAACCGCGCCGCCCGCGCCCGGAGGCCCTGCAGCGCGTCCTCCTTGACGACGCTGGAGTTGGCGTAGCGGTCCGCCAGGATGCGGCGGCGGCGGCTGTGCGTCTGCTTGTCGAGCGTCGAGAACATGGTGGGCGTGCCGTACTGCCGAAACAGGTGGTAGAACTCGGTCTTGTCGTAGCCGCTGCCGTTGGACATGTAGATTTCCTTGAGCGCCGGCAGCGACGCGAACGCGACCTCGTTGGGCGCGAGCCGCACGACGCTGCCGTAGCGCCGGTGCAGGCCGTGGACATACCGCGTGCGCTGGCCGCGGAACTCGTGGTACTTGAGCGGCAGGGACGACAGCACGTTGAGGCGCGGGCCGGGCACGGCGGCACCGGCCGACACGAGGCGCCGGATGGCCGTGAGGACGGTGGCGAGGATCGCCGCTCCGAGCAGCAGGGGGACGGAGATGAGGGCCATGGTAGCAGGTGTGGTCTGGTCCTGCAGTCTTCTAATTGTTATTTTTCTTTTTTGGAAAGTATATTGTGATATCTTGAATTGGTTTTCTTTTTTGGATTTCTTTTCTGTGAGTTTGATTTTGCAATTTGCATACTATGACTGGGTTTGATTTTGTCGATATCTCGATTCACAACTGAATTGGCAGACTGTTAAGTCGTTTAAATCATGGAGGTACGTCCTCGGTGTTCGGGATGCTGTCGGCATCTCTTGATTCCTCTTCGTTTGAGATACGACGGACAGATGAGGACGTGTCGAGTCGAAGGAGGGGACGACGATATGACGATGCCACTAACAAACGCAGCAGTACGAAACGGGAATCTGGAACCGCCTGGCTCTGCGGGGAAGCACGAGAGCATCCCAGAGGGGATCAGGGGATGCCGTCCTTATCTGGTCATCCCAGATGCCTCCGCTTTTGTTGGATGGAGGATGGTCACGGCGGTCACGAACACATTTACACAAGACAGATAAGCCCGGCTCCGGGTCAGCCAGATAACGAGAGTGAAAGGCCACAGGCCGACACAAACACACGACAGATAAGCCGACACAAGTCGCATACATGCCCAGTTTTGGCTAGAGCCGGTTTCCTGCGGCGAGACGAGACAGCCAAAAGACACCAAAAGAGGAGGGGAATAAAACATGGCCGGGACCACACGACGGTCGACGCCGATCGGAGCACAGGCGCGTTAAACTGAAAAGGGAATGTAGTCGCGACAGGGCCAGGGTCTGCAATGCCTTTGGACTTACAACGAGTCAGGGAGTATGGACGATGCTTATCACGGCCCACGCAGGCTTTGTCCCTTTTCGTTTGTATAATCGTTCTTTTCACGCTTTCTATTTGCAAATCGGCACTTGATCCAACGTCCGTGCACGGTGCCTGCCGAGATATGGAAAGAGGAGGCGACATGGACAACAGTATGGTGTCGAACATAAAGTGAGCATCTCCATCTCCATCTCGCAGAATTGACGTTTGCTGTCCCTTCTCGTCGTCCATCAGGCTTCCGTACGAACGATCATCATGGAAAACGCAACTGTTGTCGATTCAGCCGAGGAGAAGATGGCTCCCTCGGACTCGGAAAAGGCCGGCTCAACAGTCGATGCCGGCCACTTCACCAACACAAACAACGCCGTCCGCAGCCTCACGACCCGCCTCGACCCTGCCGGCAACCCGCTGTCGCCGACGCCGACCAGCGACACGCTCGACCCGCTCAACTGGCCGCTGTGGCGCAAGTACGTGTGCATCGCCATTGCGTGCCTGTCGTACTTTTTGATGACGTACCTCACGACGGCGCCCATCCCGTCGTTTTTCCTGCTCGAGGCGCAGTTCGGCGCCACCTACAGCCAGACCAACTGGACGTTTGCCATCTCGGCCTTTGGCCTGATTTTCGGCCCGCTGCTGTCGGGCGGCCTGGCCGACATCTACGGCCGCCGCATCTGCATGGTCGCCACCACGTCGGTGGCGCTGCTGGCGTCGGGCTGCACGGCCATCCACGGCCAGCGCCTCGGCGCCTACATGTTTGAGCGGTTCCTCCAGGGGCTGGGCGCCGGCTCGGCCTGCAACCTGGGCCTCAGCATCATCAACGACGTCTCGTTCCAGCACGAGCGCGGCCAGCGCGTCGGCCTCTGGGCCATTGCCGCCAACATGGGCACGTTTCTGGGCGGCGTCTTTGGCGGGTTCCTCGTGTCCGTCGACCAGTACTGGGTGGCGTACCAGGTCACGATGGCGTACGCCGTGCTGTGGCTGCTGGCGGTGTTTGTGCTGCCGGAGACGCTGTACCCGCGGCGGCAGATGCTGCGCATCGAGTTTGGCGCGGCGGGCAGCGGCAGCAGCGTGGAAGCGCCGGCGCCGCGCACGCAGAAGCTGCCGTTCTTCAACGTCCGCCGGATTGCCGGCCTGACGTACCCCGCGCTCTGCTCGCCGTGGGTCGTCGTCTTCCGCCTCTGGGCGTACCCGACCATTGTGCTCAGCATCTTGGCGTACGTCTACGCGCAGTACTGGTGGATCATTGCGCTCATGACCATGGAGCCGCTGGCGTACGAGGAGCGCTCGCCGCAGGTCCAGGGCCTGCTGTTCCTGGGGTTTGTCGTCGGCGTCCTCTTTGCCGAGGCCTTTTGCTCCGGCCACGCCAGCGACCGGCTCGTGCTCTTCCTCGTCAGCAAAGGCCCCGCCGGCGAGCGCACGCCCGAAATGCGCCTCTGGCTCGGCTACCCGGCGGCCGTGCTGTCGGCCCTCGGCTGCGGCCTCTGGGGCCTGTCGGTGGACCGCGGGTGGCACTGGATGGTGGGCCAGCTCCTCTTCTTCCTCTACGCCGTGGGCCTGCAGATTGGCAACACCGTCTTGACCACGTACATGGTCGACAACTACCCGACCTACGCCAACGAGCTGTCCATTTTCTACTCGTGCATCATCAATGTAGGTTCAGAGCCCACCTTATGGCCACCCGTTCGTTCTCTCCTTTGCTCGTTGCTGACCGTGAAGTTGTCCGCGTTCCTGGTTCCCTGGTTCATCTACGCGTGGGTCGAGTTCAGCGGCTACACGTGGTCCTTTGCCGTCCAGGGCATCCTGTGTGTGCTCGTCATTCCCGCCTACGCCGTCCTGCAGAAGTACGGTGCCCAGTGGCGCAAGCCGGCCAACTTTGGTGTCTACAGCGAGGACGAGTACGACCCGACCGTCTCTGTAGGCGTGTAATGAATATGGATATGGATATGGCAGGTGTAGGGGAGGGCATTCCTGTACATGAGCATGCGGAATGCCGTCGACTGGCTATTTTATTTTATGACTCCCTAACCTGTTTTCTTTGCGCGTCTTCAAAAAAAAATGTAAATAAATGGTCCTTAATTTTACTGCTCACACGTCTTTTTGAGAACACTCTGCTCGAGCTATCGTATTATTTCCAGCGTGTTTTGTTTTACTTCAACGATTAATACACGCGTCGTTGCGCTCTCGTTATGATTTCTCGACATATCAACACGTCTTTCGTCCCGACTGCCGTTATCGGTCGATGCCCGCTAATGACACAGGAAACTGTGGGGAACATCCACCAAGATAGCGGTGCAGATACGCACGTTTCGACGACTAACACTATGACGGGTGGGCGCGTAGGCATTCCCTTTTGGGACGTGTAAGAGTGCGGCCGAGACTCACCAGTTTCTCCGCATTCCGTTTTGGTGTACAACGATCGTACATTTCGCAGTGTGACAGCAATATCAAGGAAGCGGCCTGGATTTATTTGATTAACAAAACAAACCAAGTAATAGTGCACAGGACGATCCAATGTCCCACCAGCACCATCCTTCGTCGCCGCCTCGCCATCTCATCATCTCCAAGCATCCTCCTCCTCATCCACATTCTCCTCGTTCTCACCCTCGCTCGCCTTCCATGCCACAATGGCCCGCCTCTCCACCCGCCTCTCCATCCGCTGGGGCGACGACCCGGCGTCCGAGCCGACGACCACTCTCGTCATGAGCGTCGGGGGCTACTTTATGGACCTGCGCGTCGTCAAAAGCGACAACGCCGTCGACTGGGCGTTTGCCGGCACGCGCGACATTGTCGCACGCGCGCCCCAGCTGCACTGCCGCTGGCACCACACCATTGACTCGCGCAACGCCTTTGCCCCCGACGAGGGTTGGTTTCAGGACCTGCCCAGCGGGAACCGCGACGGCGATGGCAACGGCGACGGACACTACAGCGACAGCCTGGAGACGGGGCGCATGGCGTGCGCCGAACGGGGCGGCGCCGTCACGGCCTACGAGGAGGTGTGGCGGACGCTGCCGACGGACGGCGCGCGGGCGTGGATCGTGAAGCGCGAGGAGGATGCTGCGACGACGACGAGCAACATTACGTTTCTCGGGCGGGTGGGCCGCGAGTACTTTGCCATGGTGCAGGCACGTGGCGGCGGGCCATTGACTGTGCAGCGAGAGACGCTGGAGGCAGCTAATAAAGGACATGAAGGACATGAGGGACATGAGAGACAGCAGGGACAGGAGGGCTACAACGGAAAAGAGCGCTGGGTGGTCAAGTACCGGTCGGGCGATGCGCCTCTGCCATCCCTGGCGGCGAACAAGCTGTCTGCATTTCCAAACGAAGAGACATGGACGGAGGGAGACAAGGTGGACGTGTTTGGCGACGTGTACACTGTGTGTGCTACAGAGAAAAGTATATAACAGTCGGTTGATATATAGCCATCTTTATCCAAACATTGTCACATGTATTTGCCTATAACTGCCACTCAATCACGGGAATGTCGGGCTCGCACGGCCGCCCAATCGACACCCGTCCTTGCCCCGTCGTCAGCTCCATCAGGATCGTGCAGAGCGTCACCATCCGCTCCATGCCCACGGCGCCCGGCGGCCGGCTGCGGCAAATGGCATACGGCGCGCCCTCGAGGTCGCTGAGGCGCGCGCGCAGGGACGCAAACGAGACGGGCACGCCGGCGGCTGCGTCGGCGCGCGTGAGGGCCTGCATCCGCGCCAGACGCGCAAACGAGTTGTCGGCCGGGTGGTCCACCAGCTGGGCGGGACGCCCCTGGGCCGCCGTGCCGTACAAATGGTTGGTGTGTGCGACGAACCGGCTGCTGGCGTTTCCATGGGCAGCGAGCTTGGTAGGATCCGGATCAATGCGGGCGTGCCCGTACGGCGAGCACTCGATGTCGGCGTGCTGGCCCGACCGGTCCGCCAGCAGCAGGTTGATGCAGCTGGCCGCGCCAAACTCGGTCTCGAGGATGGCCAGCGCGGCGTCCAGCGACGTGGCGTACTGCAGCAGGCGCCGGGCCAGCACGTGCACGGGCAGGTGGCGGTCGGTCGTGCCCTGCGCGCCGGAGCGGATCGCGTTCATGCAGAGCCCAAACCCGGCGCTGTTCATGCTGATCTTGCCGACGATGCCCGCCTCGCCCAGGAACACGAAGCGCTGGACGCTGGTCTCCGGTGCCGTCTCCGGTGCCGTCTCCGGTACTATATCAAACGACACCATGCCCTCGTGCAGCTCCTCGAGCCAGTCCCAGTTCTGCGCCAGAAACACCCGACGGCCGTCCGCGCCCACCACCTCCTGCGCCAGCGACGTGCACCCGTCCGTGTAGTTGGTCAGCGCAATCTCGCTCCGCACATTCAGCGTCAGCACGTCGTCCCGCGTCAGCCCACCGCCGGCTCCGTCGGCAATCCCCTGCATCTCCTCCAGAATTGCCGGGTAGCAGCGCTCCAGACGGCCGGCAAACTGGTCGACGGCCCGCGCGCGCGCCTCCGCCCACGTGAGCCCGACCGTCTCGTTGAAAAAGGCCGTGTACGTGGCCACGTTCTTGTGTACCTGGTCGGCGACGGCCCGGCCGTGCGCGAGGCCGATCTGGTACGGCGTGCCGGTGCATCGGACGGTCTTGACGAGGCGAGGCTGAGACATGGCGGGATGACGGATGTAGTGGACGAAAAAACGCTGTGTGTGTGACGTATTGGCAGAGGTTTGAATGATGTTGGATGAAAGGTACATGGGCATCTACCTGGTGTATACTTGGTGTATATAGACTGGTATACGGAGTACAGAGGCGTGTTGTCGGCTATCTGGCAAAGGTGCCAACCACCGCTCAACTCGGACGGACAGCACCGATGGGCAACGCACAGGCTCGCGTAACGCCGTTCTTGCTGTCAGCAAGCCGTGGATTTTGGAAAAACATGGACCGTTGTTCTAGAACCAGGGCTGAGGAAGCGGCTGTCTGATGGCTATCTGACGGCTGTCAGCGGGTAACAATGCTGGATTCTCATTTATGACCGGTATACGAGTGGTTCTTTTGCTGTCCATCTGCAGCACTGGGTACTGACGAACAAGTGTATTATTATGATTTATTTGGGAATACACCTTCCATCGGGCGTACATATACCGTCAAGACAAAAGAACGATGCATATGAGAAATGATATAGCCAGTTGAGTGGCTAATCTGTTGACATGTATAGAAAGTGCAGGATTGCCCATCTACAGCGACTCCAAAAACCCCTGCACGACCTGCTGGAACTTGGCAGGCTCGTCCGTCGCCGGATTGTGCCCGCTCTCCTCAAAGATGACCAGCTGCGCGTTCTGCAGCCCCCGTGCAATCTCTTCGCTGAACGCCACCGGCGTCACAATGTCGTGCCGCCCGACCATGATGAGGGCGGGCGCCTTGATCTCCGAGAGACGGTCTCGCACGTAAAACTGCGGCATGTTCTGGCTAAACGCCCAGTTCTGCGCGGCGGAGTTGTACAGCGGCCGCTCGCTGCCGTCGCCTTCGAGAGGCGGCGGGTTGGCGGCGGCCGCCTTGGTGGTCTCCGCGGCCGTGCTGTCCGGCGGCCCGTAGAGCGACAGAATCTCGACAATGGCCCGCTCAAATTCGGCGTCGTCCTGCAGCCGCCCGGACCAGAGCCGGATCTGCCGCTCCACGTCCACCCGGCCCGCCACACGCGGATCCGTCACGGCGCGCGCCAGCGCTGCCATGGGCGCCGCCCGCCCGTCCGTCCACGTGTCCCGGATCACCAGGGCCGCCAGCCGGTCGCCGTGCGCCAGCGCATAGTCGAGCGCCACGAACCCGCCGTACGAGTGGCCGGCGAGCACAAACGTCTCGGCGCCCGCCCACGTCCGCAGATTCTCAATGTCCTGGACCCACCGCGCATGCGTGTACGGCGGCGTCAGGTCGGACGCGCCGCTGCCGCGCGCGTCGTACGCAATCACACGGAAGTGCGGCGCCAGAAAGGCAAAGGTGGCCTCCGACTCGCGGTGGGACAGCAAACCCGGCGCGCCGTGCAGCGCAACCAGCAGCGGCTTGGCCGTGTTGGTGATGGGCCCGCCCAGGACCTTGACGAACAGGCGGGCGCCGTCGTCCATGGGGACCTTGGAGGTGGTGGAGGTGGTGGAGGCTGTGCATGTGGAAGACATGTTGTACCCTGTCTTGTTTGTTGACTGATTTTGTGACTTGCCGGCTCGACGGTCTGGGTTAGAGAGGTGATTTTGTGTTTGCCGCAGCCTCATCTTGGATTGACGAAGAAGCCATGCTTAAATACAGACAAGGCCGAGGCGTGATCGTCATCCTTTTGCTTGATGCCTTTGCTGCGTTCACTTCCTCCAAGACGAAGATGACAAAATGTGTAAACGAAACAAGAAAGGCGCCTGACAAATGAACAATTTAAAATGCCTCCACCACCAGCGATGACTTCCAACTGTAATGTACACGTAATGTACGTCGCTCTTCGTTTGTCATCGACGTAGAAGGAGACGCAACGAGGTCCAAACAGGACAACGAAAAGGAGAGAGAAGACGGCGATGTGCTTCGCTCGCTAATCTGCGTCGGTGCAGCAAACCTAGCGTGGCAGGCACGACGCTAGGGTATATGCGATGGAGAACGGAAAGTGCGACTCAGGTGGTCCTGTGGGGAAGTGGCGATCGGGTGTTGGCGGCCGCTCTTGCCGTGTTCGCTTAACTCCTTGCCTGCTCCTTCCCAAAGACATCAACCATTCGTCAGCAGGAAAGAGTCAACAAAAGCGACAAAGTCAATGCGTCGTCGATCGTCTTTTCGTCTCGTCGTCTGACCCTCTTCTCATATCATGCTGTCATGCTGCCCCGTGTCACCACCACGGCCATGACCGAGCGGACCCTGGCGCAGCCCTCGCTTGCTTCCGGCACCGTACAGCCATCACCACCAGCTCCACCCAGTCCATTGCCATGACGGCCCCGCAGGTCTGCATCCGCTGCCGCAAGAGGCGCATCCGCGTATGTTCTGTACCCCCTCTCACTCTCTCTTTGACCACCCTTGCCTGACCACCCACACTCCTGCAGTGCGATCTCCAGTTCCCCGCCTGCAAAAACTGCCGTCTCGCTGACGTCGAGTGCTTCTTCTGGGACAATGCCCGCGGCCAGGAGGTGCCCTGCAGCTATTTGTATTTACTGCAACAACGTGTCGCCGGGCTCAAGCGCGACCTGGAAGCTGTTGAAGCGCGGAAGGCGTCCTCCGCTGTGGCTGCGGCTGCGACTGCGACTGCGGCCGTGCCGTCACCAACCGTCGACCTCGAAGGTGCTGTTGCTCTCACGGCCTTGGCGGACCTGTCGCAGGGGCTGCAGCGCGGACGTGCATGGTCGCATCCTGCACGTGCACAAGGAACGGAAAGCAATCGTGGCTACCACCTGCTAGTGACGCCACCACTGGAGGCCGATTCAGTCAGTGGCATAAGTAGAGACGGCCGTGGCTTGGCATCGTCGCTACCATCGTCGGCGTCGGTTGTTCCCTCACACACATCGTACCTCGGACCAGGAAGCACCGCACGCCTGGCGGAGACGGTGCTCCATGCCGCCATCGACCGGCATTCTGTCAACGGCGGCAACAGTCTTTCGTTGCCACGCTCTCTGCAGCAAAAGGATGCCGACGGCGTGTTCCAGAATCTACCTCTGTCGTTGTCCTCTCACTCGAGGAACAACATGTTTGGATTAGGAGGCACGACGGCCGCCGGCCCGCCGCCGCCCCTGTCCGTCCTCCACGACCCCCGCAAAGAAGCAGAACTGCACGCCCTCGTGCCCCTCGCCACCCAGCGCGCCTTGCTCGAGCACTACTCGGCCGTCGTCGGCGCGTCGTCTCCCTGCTACGACAGCCTGTTGCCCGCCGAGCAGGAGGCCGCCCTGCTGCAGCGCGCCGGCAGCGGCATCGAGAATCCGCTAAAGTGGGCGAGCGCCCATCGCGGCACTGCAGGCGCGTACGCAACGACGGCCGTGTTTGCTGTTGCGACAGCGCTTGCCTCGCGAGACCTCTGCCCAGGTGCGTGCGGCGGCGAGGGAGGCCGCATGGCGATGCTGGCCATGCGCTTCCGCGACGATGTGCAGGCCCTGGTGGGAGCCGAAGCGGAAACTATGACTGGCCTGAAAAACGTGAAACGTATGGCGACTGTGAAATCAAAGCGCACACACGAGAACGGTATCAGCACGCTTCACAGTCTGGAACGAACGCGCTGGACGGCCACGGCCTTGGCCACGCTGGCCTTGTGTGACATGATCCAGCCGACGTCCGGCCAGCTCTGGGACCTTCTCGGTACCGCCATCAGCGTGCTGGCTGACCTACGCGAAGGCTACCATCTCCGCCACCGCGCGCCCGAGGACGACGCCGACTTTGTGCGCCTGGAGCGGACAATGTTGCGCATGGAGGCCCGAACGTCCCTGCATTTTCGACGGCCTTCGCCGTTCTGTGACCAATATCTTCTTGGACGGAGCAGCAGCTTCAGTGGAGGAAGCAGCCGGGAATGGGAGTGGCAACAGCTGCTCTCGTCCTCGTTTACCCCGGCGTCATCGGTTGTCATCGACGATCTGGTCGTTTTACGGACTTGTATGCAGATCCGCCAACATCTCGAGGCACGGCCGCAAATCCCCGACCATCTTCTCGAGAGTCTGATTCTCGTTCCCCTTCAAGTCCTGGCGGCGCCTCCTCTGACCCGCACTCGCCTGGCCGATACCACAGCGACACCCCCAATGTCCGTCCAATCCGCCACCGTTTACATGACCCTGCACCCGGTCGTCGTTTTCCCCGACGAGATCTTGAAAGGCGGGCAGTTGTCCACCCGCTCCCGTTTGTTCCAAATTGTGGCTGGCGCGGCGTGTGTCTTGCTCAATGAATACGCCCGCCAAAACCCGCGTCACCGAATTTCTAGTTTGTGGATGTCTGCCGAGCGCATCGTCGAAGCCGGCATTGTCTGGGTCCTGTATGTTCTGGCCCACCAGCAATACGGACTGCTCGACATTGGAACGGCCATGCGGCCCATCCTGCACGTGTCTTCACTCCTGGCATCCTTTGCCGCGCGCTGGAAAGCGGGCACGGCCTATGTCGAGCCATGGGAAACCCTGGTCGAGTTGATGTGGGGAATCCTGGGCTGAGTGCATGAACGTTTCAACAGCTGATTGCGTACATTATCTTGCTCTATTTACTTTGCCTCCGTCACACGAATGGCATAGTGGCCGTCGTCGGTCTGGACTAGCTCAACAGCCACCCCATACGCCTGCGACATGTTGCGCACACGTGCCACGAGCACCTCAGCGTCGGCCGCCGTGGCGTAGGCGGGCTCACCGTCGGCCTCCACTGTCACTGGGACCATGACACAGCCCGTCAGTTTGCCCTCGTCCCACTCGAGCCGCGCCAGAGACCCAATGTTCGACAGTGTCTTTTGCAGACTGCCCCATTCGTACGGCGGGTATGTCCGGAACGTCTCATCCGGCGTCACAATGTCGTTACTAAAGATGAAGTTGCCCAAACTGTAAAAGATTGGTGCACCGCGATACAATTCGACGCCCTGCACCAGTGCGGGTGGTGGCCCACAACGACGGACGCACCGGCGTCCACCATGGCCCGTGCTAGCGGCCGCTGGTACTGTGCAATCTCGTCCTGCGTGGCGGCCACCCACCCATACGGCACGCCCCAGTGAATGCCGACGACGACGACCGACACGTCTGGGCGGGCGGCCGCCTGCCGGATCGCGTCCAGCATCACCGTCTCGTCCGCCGCGTACGTCTGCGTCTCCACAAACGGCGCCATCCCGGGCGACTCGTCCAGCGACACCGTGTCCACCACGTACTTTGTGAAGACGCGCACGCCGGCGAGGCCAGGTCGCGCGCGCCCGGCACCGCTGCCGTTGGGTAGCGTCGTCGTGACGCCGAGAAGGGCGATGCCCTTTTGGACGACAGCGTCAAAGGCCTCCGCCTGGGTCTCGCCGCCGCCGACGTGGGCAACCCCGACGCCGTCCAGTGCGTGGAGGGTCGTGCGCAGGCCGCCCACGCCAAAGTCCATGCCGTGGTTGTTGGCCACCGTCACGACGTCCAAGCCCAGATCGCGCAGCACGGGCGCATGCGACGGATCCGCGTGCAGCGCAATCAGCTTCTCGGCGCCGTAGGTGTCTGTGTTGCCGGCGGCCGTTGGTGAGGCAAACGGCATTTCGAGGTTCACAAAGTTGGCGTCGGCGGTGTGCAGCTCGCGGTAGACCGGGTTGGCGGCAACGGGCCGGTGCAGCGGGCCATTGATGACGACGTCGCCGCCGACGACAACGGAGATGGGCATTTTGGATGGGGTGTAGGTGGTGCTGGTTGTGTGTTTCTTTACAGAGTTTCTTTTTTAATTATGTCTTTATCTTGGGGCCTTGGCCACTTTCATACCTTGCTATTGAGTCTTGGATTTATTTTTTGTGGCAAAACCTAGAGCTTGGAATACAGCCAAGGACAGTCACCACAAAATTTGTCCTCGGCATAGACAAACGGTGATGAGCGAGAGGTCAATACGAATGCTTCCAACGGGCGGCAACACTTTCTCCGGAACGACCTTGTGGAGCAGGTCTCCTCAAATGCATGTAAGTGAGAGGACCGGAGTTATGCGCGCGTGGGGTTGCCGTGACTAGGAGCCAGGCCGATCTACGCATCGATTAACACGACCAGGAACGGCTAAACAGCGGCAAGCTACGACGTATTCGGAGAACGGCTCGTCTAGTTGCGATAGGCGTAGACATGTGTCCGAGGTAAGTGAGAAATTAACAACAAGAAGATGAACAATGCAGCTGCAGAATCAAAGAAAAGTTGGCAATAAAAGAGAGCCCCAGGACAAGCAGTTATTTTGTTTGCCCGAGTCCACCAAAACAATACGAGACCGCATATACGAGACGACATTTCGATCCGCCCACAGCTCGCAACACCATGTCTGCTCCATACACAGTGCACACGTCGACACTCTTCGACCCAAAGCAGAAGAAGTTTGTCTCCGACGTGTCCGTCACGGTCGACCCCGTCTCGGGAAATATCGTCAAGGTCGAGCAGCGCTCGCCGGGCGCTCTGGGTGATGTTGTGCCCGCCGGCGACATTGACCTGCGCGGCAAAGTGGTGATGCCGGGTCTTGTGGACGCCCACGCCCACATCTTTCTGCACAGCTACGAGTGCGTCCCGGCCGGAGATTGTTTTCTCTTTATCTTTGAGCTTCCTCTTGTTTACAGTGCTAATGCTACCCCTTACCAGCGAACGCCCGTCGCTGAACCAGAAGCGCGACGAGAGCAATGCCGAGCGCATTTTGCGCGCCGCGCAGCACTGCCGCACGGCCCTTCTCGCGGGCTACACGACGTACCGCGACCTCAGCTCCGAGTCCATGGGCGAGGCGGACGCGCAGATTCGCGACTGCATCAACCGGGGGCTCATCCCGGGCCCGCGGCTGTTTGTGGCCACGCGCGCCCTCGCCAGCACCGGCTCGTACGAGCTGCGCACGGAGAACCACGCCAACGGCGTGTGCTACCCACGCGGCGGCGAGGCCGTGGACGGCGTGGACGAGGCGCGCAAGGCGGTGCGGCGGCGGCTGGCGGCGGGCGCCGACGTGATCAAGTTCTTTGCCGACTACCGCCGGCGCATCATGCGCTACCCGCCGGCGCAGCAGCACCCGTACGTGGTGAGCGCCACGCACCCGCCGGCCGACCCCAACCCGGACATTGTCGTCTTTGCGCAGGAGGAGATGGACGCCATCGTGCGCGAGGCCCGCCTCGGCCGCGCGCCCGTGGCCTGCCACGCCGGCACCCTCGAGGGCGCGCGCATGGCCGTCGCCGCCGGCGTGCACACCATCGAGCACGCCTACTACGCCGACGCGGCCCTGTTCCGGCAGATGGCGGACCGCGGCTGCCTGCTTGTGCCGACCCTGGCCGTCTGCGAGCGCCTGCACGCCAAGCGGTTCCCCGCGATCCTCGCGCAGACCACGCTCGCGCACCGGCTGGGCGTCCGCCTGGCCGTCGGCGGCGACACGGGCACGTACCCGCACGGCCAGAACGCGCGCGAGCTTGAGCTCCTGGTCGAGGGCTGCGGGCTCCCGCTCGAGAACGTGCTGGAGGCGTGCACGGTGGGCGGCTGGGAGGCGTGCGGCGGCGCGCTGTGCGGCGTGCCCTTTGGGTGGCTGGCCGCGGGCGTGCGCGCGGACCTGATTGCGCTGGCGACGGACCCGCGCGAGGACCTGCGGGCGTTTCGGCGCGTCGACTTTGTGATGAAGGACGGCGTGGTGTGGAAGCAGGACGGCAAGGGCGTCAACATGTACGAGGACGACCACACCTGGGTTGGCTGTGATTGAGGTCCTGGACGGCGAGAAGACACTGATTTTCTTTGTAGTCAGGCCTGTATATATGGTTCATCGTGATCAACTGACGAAGACGTCATTGCAATGTACAGTGATTAAAATGTTATGATAGTGGAAAGACGGGGAGAATTGACCGGCCTATCTTCCCCCTGGTCGATCAAGTGATGCCCGACTCTGAGAGAGAGTACTCATGTTACATTTTTCATTAAATATCACGGAGAAAGTGACGCCTTGTCATCTTAGATGTGATGCAAGTGGTACATTGGATGCGTGCCATAGTACTATCTGAAGTCGACCGCGTCCCATTAGACGTCTATGGAGGTGGCGCTGACTAGGTCGGTTTGGGCACGCCCTTGATGGTGATGAGTTCGGTGTCAAAGACTGCCACGTTAGCCAAAGGTAGCCACAAAAACAGACAATGCAACGTGCATGGAGACGTACCAAGCGTGGAGTTGCCCGGAATGGGCCCGACGGCATCCGGGCCGTAACCAAACGCAGGCGGAATTGTGAGTTTTCTGGCCGGCTTGTCAGTATGTCAGGGGACTCTGTGGACAGGGGACGGTGTTCGTCGCCCTGAGCTCACCTCTTCTCGCCCACACACATGTCCTGCAAGCCTATGTCCCAGCCGGCAATCACTTCCCCGACACCCAGCGTAAAGGTAAACGTCTCACCGGGAGCGGCTGTCCGTCCATTTGTCAGCATGGCTGGTAGCATCACCGTCCTGCCCATGACCGCCTGCGGTACCTACTTGACTCGATCTTGGTCCCGTCCAGCAGGCTGAGAGAGTAGGTCATGGAGATGACGTCGTTGATGCGCGTTTTACGGTCGCATGCCACTTTATGCGTGATATCGACGATAATGTCTTCACCACCAGGCGCAGTGGCTGTCCAGACCGTGGATGCCGACGACAAGGCGACGAAAAGGGAGGCGAGCTTCATCGTGGGGATGGTGGTGTGAGGCGTCTATGGCGAAACGACGAAAGAAGTAACAAAAGGTGCGAACGTGACGACCTAACTATAGAAGATTGAACTGCATCACGTCACAGACAAATAAAACCTCGTTTCCATACTTACGTCCCCTTCTCCCGCATGGCTAATTACAGCGGTTCAATCGTCTTCGCCATCTAGACAGCCCCATGGGTCTGGTCTTCCGTCCAGTGCAGCCGGACGCTGCGCCCCATGTATTTAGATTTAAGTCTTATATTGTTTATGTCCCAACCAGTAAAGCATGCCCTGATGGGATCCCTCATTCTCGCTTCCTTTCACAAACATCCGCTCTTGTTGCTGTCTCCTTGCATCTTCTATGGTCGTGATGTCGCTTCAGCAGATGTACGAGGCACCAAATGCGCCTCTTTACCAACAATTTCCACAAGTCCCAATTGTAGTATCAACTATAGGTGCCACTACCGGTGCCACTCATTTTTGTCGTTGGGTCCGAATTGTTGCACAAACCGGCACACGGCATCTGCCCAAACAAACGGTTAACGACAGCAATCGACCAGAGACAAACGGCGACGTGGCCCGGTCTCCTTCAACCTTCATATATAAATGAAACGGAAACTATTTTCTCGCTCTCGATTCATCTGTCGTGTCTTTCCTCTTTCCTTTTTCCTGTTTCCTTTTTCTCTCAGCCCATTTTCTTTTTGCACTGCGTCCCCACCGTCATTCCTGGAATTGAAAAGAACACAAAGCCCATACTTTGTCTAAAAGCTCCCTTGACGCACGCCTCCTTGACGCACAAATATCTATTTTAGGCGTTGTCCGAACGTTCTTGCCGAAATACAAGGCCTGTCATGTGACCATCACATCTTGGTATAATAAACTGAAATTAGCGCTGAATATTTACAATTCTAACTGAAAAAGGCACAGTGCCAGAGTGGTTAATGGGTGAGACTTGAATTTCCTGATTCAATCCTATCTCATGGCTTCGGCCGCGCATGTTCGAACCATGCCTGTGTCGTTTTTATTTTTGTCATTTTTTGTGTCGATATTTCTTTTTGGGAGCACGAGAAGGACTCAAAGGCAGCAATTTTCAATTCAGGAGTTTTTTGACTTTTTTTTCTTATGAAAACAAGCGGAGAACTCCGAAACAGGTCGTCATATGTATTTCAAGAGAACACTGCTGTAATTCAGTGAATGGCGATGCCTCAATGTACGCTAACTTCGTGTAAGTGCCCAAACAGGAAAAGAATCGTGACAGCACATTCACCAACAGCACAAAACACAAAACGGTATCGGGGGCGTGGAAGCGATTAGTAGCACATTCAGCTGTTGCCTTGTGTTGCAACGTCATCCACCGACCAACTACAAACGCCTGGAAAGTCCACCATTGCGCCTCTGTCGCCTCTCCACAACCTGGCCTCAGCACGTCTCTCCAGCCCCGTTCCCCGTCCTCTTATGTCGCCGCCACCAGCGGCCAGTTGATGCCCTTGTCGCCCGCGCCCGCGTTGCCGAGGCCCGCGCACGAGTACAGGCCCACCGGGTTGTTGGCCGTCGCCCGCATGTACTGCAGGTCCACACACTCCTGCGGGCTCGACGCCGCCACCGCGATGCGCCCGTCCGCCTTGACGTCAAAGTTCTGACCCTCGGCCGTGTCGGCGCAGTCGTTAATCACCAGGGCGGCCATGTCTTTCCACTTGGCTGGGGAGCACAGCGCAACATTGAAAATGTCAGCAAATGTGTGTTGGGAGATGTGGAGAGGCGGCCTGCTCTCCGCCTTTGCTGCAGCGGCGACACAGCGGCCTTTGGCGTGGGGGGGACGGGGGCTACTTACACTTGGCTCCGGCATCCAGACACAGCGTCGTCCCCGCCAGCTGGATCTTGCTGGCACCGTCCTTGACGTACCACTGCTGCTCGGGCTTGCTCGTCAGGGTCTGCACGACGACAGCCGAGCCGGCCTTGGCCGCCTTGGGCTGGACGACGAACTTGGCGTTGACGTTGGACGTGATGTAGACGGTCTTGTAGCCGGCCGGTACGTCGAGGGGGACGGCGAGGCCGGTGGCTGCGGCAAACGCCAGGGCGAGGAGAGACGTGGCGGCGACCATTGTGAGGTGAGCTTGGAATGGGGGTAGTGGAGGAATGTCGAGGTGAGACGGCAGGGGACGAACAAAAGAGAAGAGAAATGCCAGACAACAAAAAGAAGAGGAAAGGGCCAAAGTAAGAACGAAAGAGACAAGAAACGCAGAAAAAACTGCGCCAAGAATGGGGGTACCGAGCAAATAGTGGCAGTGATCCGTAAACGAAAATCAGAGAGGAGAAATAAGAGTTGCACTCGTAATACTGTCAAGTGACACTATCTTCTAGACGCGAGCTGGTATTCGCAGACGGCGGATCGTGCAATAGATAATTACTCCATTCGGTCTGCCTTGCGTCTCCGGCAGTTGCATGTCGAATCGCTCGACTACCAAAAAGTCCAGAAATAGAAAATAGAACCAACTAAAAGTAGGGACGAAATCAAATAAGCTCGACAAGGATGCACGGGCTAATGTCGTTAATGACGTGAAACAGCAGTAGCGAAAAACAAAATACAGTGCACGCCACCCAAACGGTTAAACACAAAAAGACGAGGGTCTTTAATTATTTCCTTTTCTCCTGGTGCCCCTTCTCGGTCATCCTGTCCCCGCTTCCCCATATTCGACGGCAAATAAAAAATAAAGACTGCGGGAAAATGAAGAATGCCGGCGAAAATAAAGTGCGGAACCACAAAAACAACATTACTCGAGCTGACAAGGAAGCAAAAAAATCAATGGCCAAAGGAATTCGCAAAGCAACGGGATCATAATTCCCACCACTAGCCATGGCCCTCCTTGGCCCGGTCCATGAGGTCGCCCACATAGCCCATGCGCTCGCGCTGGTCGTCCATCAGCCGTGCATACTCGAGGAGCAGCCGCCATGTGTACAGCCGCATGTCTTCGCGCCGCAGCCATTTCGCGGCCCAGGCAGCGCCCTCCTCGGCAATCCGCTGCGACGTCTGGTCGTAGTCGTCGTAATTGTGGTTCTTGGGCTTGATAAAGTAGTCCAGGAGACCGTACACGTCAATAAAGGACATGTCCATCGGCACGTAGTGCACCCACGGCTGCAGGCGGTCGTCGTGCCATTCGGCAAGGAGCGTCGCTTTGATCGGCACCGTGCCCCCGTTCAGCAGGTTCAGCCACTGTGCGCTGGGTATGGTGCCGTCAACGTCCGCCGAGAGCTTGTGCTTGTTGAAGTCGTCGTCTTCCGGCCAAGGCTTGATGCTGATCAACGTGTCCGTGTAGTTGCACGTCTTGTTGGGGACCATGTTGATCGAATCCATGTACAGCCGCGGATTGCACATCATGTCCGAGAATCCAATGTCCGTCGCCCCTTGTAGCCACGTCCGCATGTTCTAGATGTCATGGTGCTGAAAGGCTTCCGGGTACATGCACTTGTAATCGTCGACGTCCGGCAAGTTAAAACTCGGCGCATTCATCTTGCCGTCGTTGTAGAATTCGCGTGCCCGGACGCCGTCGGTCATCTGCACAAACCGGTGCCGCTGAAACCGCCACCAGCTGTGCGCTCGAGCCACGCCGCCGGTTGCCTGGCCCCGCCAGTACAGGCGGTCCATCTTGGCGCTCCAAGCGGGTGTATTCGCTTCGTCAAAGACGAGAGGCGTTTTCTTCTTGTCCAGGTAAACAGTACTTGGCAGCAGGATGTCGTTGTTCCCCGGAAGCTTGCTGCCCGAAAAGATGGGCATCAGGGAGCTGCTCGTCGAGACATGCTCGCACTCAACAAAGAGTCCGTACATGGCCCGTATGTACGGCTGATGGCACGGATCACGCGCTGCGGTCACGTTGGTTATGTATCCACTGGTCGTATAATTGGGGTTGAGTTTGCCGGGGAAGACCTCACGGATGCTTGGCTCTAAGCTCAATCCCAAATCACGGGCAGCGCTGCCTAGAGGACAGGTTCTGCGGTACTGTAGCCAGTACGCCTTTGGATCGCCGCTGAGGCCAGATGTCTCCCAGTCATGGGTATAATTGAGCTTGATTTTGCCAGGGTGGACGGAGGGACTGTCCTTTAAGCCTGAGTAGGTGACGATGACGTCGTCGAGCGCACGGCGACCGCCGGGCATCGAATCTTTGAAAAAAGACGTCTCGTTGATTGTCTGGCGGTCGACGGCCAGCCGCGGGGTGGTCATGACATTGACGGGGATGTCCATGTCCGGCAAATGCACAGCAAATTCCTCCACAAAACTGGCCCATGTCCTGAGCCAACCGGTATTGCCCGTGTAGTCGGCATAAAAGTCCACCCGGCCGTCGCGGATCCGGATCACGTTTGGCTGCGAATACGTCATGAAGCGCATTTCACTGGGCTGCAGCGCCCCAAATGGCGCGAGATCCTTGTAGATGCGGTCGAAAAATCGCTCCACAATCACCGAATTTGACCGCAAGGCCGACGACGCCCAGGCGTCAAAACCGGGCGGCGGGTCGCGGCCGCGGCGCCTGCGGTACTCGCGTGCGGCCTCGGGAGTGCTTTTGACGCCGCTGTCCAAGATCCGCTGCCATTCGGACTGGGCATCCTCAATCAGCTTCGTGATGGGGTGCGGATGAACGGGGACGAAACGCCACGCTGTGTCGCCGACCCACAACTGCGGCGGTAAAAATCGAGGCTGTAATAAAATCATAAAGCCGTAAAAGACCGTAAGGCCCATAATGAACTTGGTGAGACTTCGTATCCTCCACCGTACCGTCGGCGTCAAGGCCAGGTCGGGCACCCAGCGCAGTATTGCCGGCATCTTGGAGTCGAGAGTACACTCGTCAAGGATCGAGAGTCATGTAAGCTGATGTTGTGAAGGCGAAAGGGAGTAGTTAATTCAGTTGCGGTAGCAAAACAAGAGACAGCAGCGAAGTGCTGTAGATGGTGTTTCTTAAAGTATCGTGAGAAGGAAAAGGGGGATTGACAATGAGGCAACGTCACCATAGTAATGATGCAGCCAGCAAACGGACGGCCAACAGGAAGGCTCGACCGGGCGCTTGCTTCGTCCAAAACATAGGCAAGAGCTACCCGTACAAGGCATCATCATCACGGTCGATCTTTCCCGCCCGGGAAGTCAGCGACTTGGTACAAAAGGTCTCCATTGTTATCTGATAAGATGCAACGAACTGGGCCTGGCCTCAAAGAAATGTTCACGGCATTTCTATCATAGCAGCTTGCCATGCGGTCTTTGGCAAAGAATAGGTTAGACAACCGTCTCCAGTACGTGTTGCGTCGTTGTTGACAAAACCAGGAAGCCGTCAGACAGTAGATGTTGTCTGCGTTTAGCGGGGTCGTGCCTGCCTCCAGCTCTGTCGCTAGCGGCCACTCCGCTAATGACTAATCGCCGCGTCATTTTGGTAGCCAGTCGCACTTTCTGTCTGCATCTTGACGCGACGCGACGATTCCACCTAAAATGGCTGAAAATGAAGACAACCAAAAACATCAAACCACCAAAAACGCCAAACACGCACTGACACGACTTGACGACCAACGATTGAGACTAGGAGCTCACCCACGACGACAACGGTAAACGATACATGACACACGACGCATGACACACGACGCATGACTCCTGTTCCTCGCCAACAACGCCGTCTTCTGCGATCTGCCGCCGTCTCATGTCTCGCTCTGCCTGCCGGCGGTCCCGTCCATGGAATCTGCGCCGTTTGCAGGCGTCGTCCTCTGCTGCACCAGCATTCCCGTCGACCTCAGGGTGCGTCTCTACATTGATCTGGCTCTACGGAGCTGTGTCCCGTGCGTTGGGCCCGCAGCGTGCCTTCTAACAACTCCAGACCTCCCTCGCCAAAAAGGTCGAAGAACTCGGCGGCGTCCACAAAAACGATTTGACCCATGAGGTCACCCACCTTATCGTCGGCGACTACAACACTCCCAAATACCGCCATGTTGCCCTCGACCGCCCAGACATCAAGCCCATGTGCGTCGGCTGGGTCGACGCCGTGAGAGATCTCTGGACACGCGACGCCCCCATCGACTTCCCCGCGCTCGAGGCAGCCTGGCAACTGCGCACGTTTGAAGTCCACGGCGGTCTTCCCGCTGGACCAGACGAAGCCGACGAGGCTGGTGCGGACGGCAACAACAATGAGGGTGGTGGTGCGCCCGGGGACGCCTCGGCGGCCAAGCGCGGCCGGCTGCTGTGCTCCGTGACGGGCTTTGAAGAAGAGGACCGGCAGGCCGTCATTGCCTTGATCGTCGACAACGGCGGCGTCTACAGCGGCGACCTGACGCGCGCCGTGACACACTTGATTGTCAACAAGCCCGAGGGCAAAAAGTACAACGCGGCGCTGCACTGGAACATCAAGACCGTGGCCATTGAGTGGCTGCACGACAGCGTGGCGCGCGGCATGATCTTGGACGAGTCCAAGTACGATCCACGCCTCCCGGCCAACGAACGGGGCAAAGACGCGTGGGGGCGCAACAACGCCGAGCGGACAGCCTCGATCCTCGGCAAGCGTCTACGCGATGCCGCCGCCCAGGCAGCTGCCGCCGAAAAGCAGAATGGTCAACGAAAACTGCGCAAAACAACAAGCCAGAAGCTCTCTGTGCAGCGGGACGACCTATGGGGAGACATTCTAGGAAAGCCAGCACAGCCATCCCCTGCGGCCGGGCCAGTTCCGCCCCAAGCCGCTTCCACAGATGCAAGGAAGAGTGCAACGCCAGCTGCGGTCTCATCCAAGCCGACAAACGTCGCCGAAATTCAGAAGCCACCAAAAAAAGTACCAGCGCCACCTGCTGAGGACGTATCGAACGGGGGTGTGCTCTCCACGTCCATATTCTGTATACACGGCTTCAGCCCGGAGCGGAGCAACGTCCTCGCTGGTGCTGTGGCGACCATGGGCGGCGCCATTGCGTCGTCCCTCGCCGAAATGGCGGCAATTGCTACAAGACGGCCAGATGCACCACTCTTCCAGCACGTCATTGTGCCACAAGAGGAGCGGCCGGAAACACATCCGGCCGTGGCCGACGACGTCCTCCTTGTCACAGAGTTTTTTATCGAACGGTGCCTGCACAAGAAGCAGTACGCACTCAGTGGAGGGCCTTCCATAGCACTGGCGCAAACGCCGAATCCAGGCACAATCGGCCGTCCATTCGCCGTATTTCCCATCCCAGGTTTCGACACGCTGTCTATTTGCTCATCGGGCTTCACAGGCGTTGATCTCAACCAGATTGACAAGACTGTCCGGCAGCTCGGCGCAAAGTACGAGGAGCGGTTCACGGCGCAGTGCTCCGTGCTCGTAGTGACGTCGCTGCCGGCAGTGCGAAAACAAAAACTCGAGCTCGCACTCTCCTGGAAGGTGCCCGTCGTAGAGGCCAAGTGGCTACAAGCCTGTATCAAGTCAGGTACACTGGTCCCCGTCGGTGACTACCTCTTCCCACAGCTACGGCAAAATCCAAGCAGCCTCAACGGCCCGGCTGTCCGGCCATCCACGGCGAAGGCAGAACCATCTAATCCGGAGCCGACTTTGGCACTCACCGTCCCGACCCTCGTCGTGGCTAGTCCTCGAACGTTGCATTCCGCCGGTGCCCAAGGTCAACAAGACGAGGAAGGCGGTCCGAAAAACAACGGAAACGAGACGGACCTGGACCCGACGGCTCCTTATGAAACAGCCCAGTCTCACCAGGAGGAGCCTCTTCTCCCGCCGATCAGCACGACGACGGCTGCCGCTGCGCAGACAACGTACAACAAAGACGTCGACCTGCAAACGTCGTCTGTGGCTCCATCAGCAGCACAGCAGCCGCTCGTCAATAATCCCTTTCGGTCCGATTCCGACTCGCCGCCTTCTCGGCGACCCATCGAATTGGCGCAACCTGAACCAGCACCAGCACCACAGCTGCTACGACAGCAACAGCCGAAACCGCGACAGCCACTGAACCGCGTGCACAGCGAAATTGCCGACTCGGCCGCCGGTGACTCGGACGGCCTCATCGATAGCGACGATGGAGGAGGCGTGAGCAGTAGCAAAGTGTCGCCGCTTAAGCAGATGCGACAACAGAACCTGCAACGGCAACAGCAGCAGCAGCAGCAGCAGCAGCAGCCAAAGTCAACAAACACATCCACGACGATGAAGCGAAGCGCAACAGCAAGGACAGCAGCAGCATCCACAAAGGCCGTCCATCGGCCTGTTCTTGGCCGTGTGGCCAGCGACGGCCTCGGCCACCAATACCACCAGCCAGCCATTCCCATGGGGATCTCCATTGACGACCTCATCAGAGACACCGGCGGCGCGCCCGCCAAGTCCATCGCCGCTCTCCAGCAGCAGCCGTCCAACCAGCAGCTGCTGCCGCCCCAACAAACCAAACGGGGATCCGGGTTTGGTCGGTCCCACAGCAGCGTGTTGGGCATGTCCGTGCCGGAAAACGATGTGCTGGCGGAGCCGCGCGGGTACGACGGCAGTGCTGTCGCCGGCGTCTCCGACCTGCCGCCGACACAGAACCAGGTGCAGTACCTCGACCCCGAGGCCGAGCGGATACGGGAGCAGCTGATGCGCAAAATCATGGGCGGTGCGGACCCCCATCCGGGCAACGCGAACACGGGAGAGGCAAGGCCAACGACATCGGCCGTTGGTCGCAGGGAGGACAATGCTGCACTGCGCGCAGGTACGGCCGAAGAGGCACTGGCCGAGGCGCGGCATAGCGTGCGACGAAGCAGCCGGTTGCGGTGAGGTAGGCATCGGTGATACAAAACGATAGGAAGGTATAAATCGTACGGGAGTCCAGCATTGTGATTTTGTGGCATAAAATCATCGAAGTGGCGTTTCTGCTATGACACTTGACTTTAAAAAGAAGCTATCATAAGTTATCCATTTACTCCAATGTACAAAGAAATTCAAACATTTTTTTTTAACAAAAAAAAAGCAGACGCTGCGCTTGTCGTGCTATGTATTACTGGGCATCGTAGCAAAGTCGTCCCCATCTCGTAAGCCATCATCAGTCATAACAAAGTAAAAATAAACAAAGGCAAAGCGAAATCATGAGCATCATATTTCATAAACCACAGGGGAATTCATAAACAAAAAGGTATTATCCAAATTACGACGTGACAAGAAGAAAAACAAATCCAAAACAAAAGGAGTAATAACAAAATCGAAGAAAGCAAAAAATAAAACCATCTGATCGTGACAAATAAATATTTATAATGTAAATGTAAAAAAATAAAGAAAAATAGAAAAATAAGAAAAAAAATGAAAAGAAGTGTAAGAGATGCCCGTCAAAAGCCGGATGCGGCCTCGGTGAGCACAGAAAACAGACTGCCAGCAGCACCACCGATACCGGCGGCATTGAGCGTGTCGCGGAATCGTTTGCGGCCGCCTTCACGGTCACGGCCATCCTTGTCGCTTCGATCACGACTGTTGCGGCCGTCGCGATCCCGAGAGTCTCGAGAGTCGCGGCCATCCCGGTTGCGGGACGACAAGTCGCGGTAGGAGCGTTGGCTCTGGAGGCGACGAGGGTCACGATCGCGGTCACGGTCACGGTCACGGTCACGGTCACGGTCTCGATCTCTGTCTCTGTCTCTGTCTCGGTCACGTTCACGTTCACGTTCACGTTCACGTTCGTCTCGGTCGCGCGACCTATTGCGATCACGATCGCGCTCTCTGTCCCGATCACGATCCCGATTGCGGTCGCGTTCGTGCGATGAGCTGTCACTTCGGTCACGGCTTCGGTCATCGGGTCGTCGTCGTCGTTGCGAGTCATAATCTTTGTCGCCATCGTCCCTGTCGCGACTTCTATCTCTGTCACGATCACGTTCCCGGTCGCGTTCCCGATTTCTATCACGATCACGATCACGATCACGATCTCGATCGCGGTCGCGATCGCGTTCACGGTCCAAATCATCACGCCGACGGCTGCGATCGTCATCGTCAGAGCGGGTCCGACTGTGGTCGCGGTGGCGGTGGCTTGACGAGTCGCGGTGGCGGTGACTTGACGAGTCGCGGTGGCGATGTCTTGATGAGTCGCGGTGGCGGTGACTTGACGAGTCACGGTGCCGGCTCCGGTCGCGGTGCTTGCTGCTGTGACTGTGGCCATGGCCGTGGTGGGTGCCGCTGTGGCTCTTGTCGCGAGACGACGGGCCCGACTCGGCGTCGTCGGGGCCCACCTCAACCAACTTGCCATCTTTGAAGCGCACTTGGTTCGTGTTTTTGTTCTTGAGAATAGACTTGGGTTGCGGCTCGGGCTGCGCATTCGATCCCTCGGGCGCCACACCTCCTGCATTGGCCTCCATTGTTGGCGGAGACACAATGAACGGGTACGCCGAACCTTTGTCGCCGTCCCTATTCCGACCACCGTTCGCTGACGCTGTTGCATCACGGTCCAGGGGAAACGTGCTGGCCTTGTTGGCATTCGCGTTGGGTGCAGGGCCATTGCGCCGATCGTCGCTGTTGCTAACGTCAGGCATGGACTGCATCCGTCGCATCCTTGGCTTCGGATCCACTGCTGGGCCAGCTCCGAATGATGTGCGACGGTCGTCTGGAGGGGTGTTGCGCGGCAGCTGACCCCGTCCCTTGGCCGAGGAGTGTCGAGATCTCCGCGCTTCTGCACTCTGCCGCGCGTATTCGGCAATGGTTTTCTTGTCCAGCATGCCAAGAACCGCAACAAAAGTTGGCCGTGCCTCATAGCGAACGCCGGCCTTTTCAAGAACCTCGGGCGAGACGAGCCGTCGGCTGATTCTTGTCCAAATGGCATCCGGGGGGATGCAATTCCCCTTTGAATCAGGGGCAAGTCCTAGGCTGAGCATGTACTGCGGCTGCTTGGCTTTGGACGTGCCCACTGGCATAACAATACCAAAGGCGGCTGACTGGTCGGCAGCTGCTTCTGGTGCCGAAGTGCTGTATGGGTAATCTGCCGTGGGTACGGAAAGGCGGGCAGGAGGGATAGGCTGATGTGATGACCTGTGAGAAGGGATCTGGATGGGTCTTTGTGATGTCGACGCCGGGTGTCTTAGATGATCTTGTAAAGAATTCTGGCGAATAAGGGCAGCGGCAGTTGGAGAGACCTCATACTTGGCTGACGCCGGATCGAGTGGTTTGAAGGGTGGACGTTGCGAGGCATGGCTACCATCTTGTAGCAGCTGCGGGTAGAGATAGGTCACACCCACTCGGGCTGCAAACCTCTCCTGGGCACGCCAGTCAATGGCGAGCAGCTCCCTTGTTGACATGAGGCAAAAGTCTTTGTGGTAGCCATTGTCAGAGTCGGAGTCGGACGAGGAAGGCGGCGTGTAGCCCTCGCCCGAGGAGGGTGAGTGTAGTTGAGGCGGGCTACGGATGGTGTGAGGCATGCTTGCTCTAGCAGCCAGGATGGCGGGAGAGAGTACGAGCAGTCGATCTCCCGACAATGCGTCTCTTGAGGAAGGCATTGTTCCTTGTGTTTCTTGTGTTTCTTGTGTTTCTTGTGCTGCTTGTGTTGCTTGCTGTCCCTGCTCCTCCTCTTGGTGGGTGGGCGGGGTCGCGGTCGTGGCAGGTCGGTAGGGAATGTAGTCGTATTGGGGCAGGGCTATTAGGCGGTTTTCCTTGACCGAGTGATGGTACTTCTCGTTGCCCTCAAATGGTTGTACAACCTCTTTGGGGCTGCTTTCCTCGATCTTCGGTCGCTGCAAAGGCGTAGAAGGCGACGGGCCAGGGACCATAAGCGACGGGAATGTTTGCACTGTTTCCCGGGCTGGGAGTTGTGATGGGGGGATTTCGTGCCCTTGGATGAGACCCTTGTACTTGAGTTCCTGAATGTACGCTCGTAGGACCTCCTTTATTGACTGTTAGTCACTCATTCTTTAAAAGAGCTAATAAAAGAAAAGAAAGAACTGCAGACAAAAGACATGTACGTACCTGGTTTGCAGAAAGAGCTTCGGTGGAGAATCCTTCGTATATGAGCTCGGTGTAAAACACTTGCCACAGCTCGTTAACAGACGCTGTGCCAAACTGGGAAGAAGAGATCAAGTCTTGCTGTGACAACCGAAGAGCAATAGAGTTGACCCGGTCTTTGATTGTATCGACGTCTTCGTCGTCTGGGGGCATAGGCGAGATCGATGGCGGCTGAGTCGGAGGTGCGGAGCGTGTTGTTGCTTCTGTGATTGTCTCCGGCGGGTTGCGTAAACTGACGGTTTCGAGAAATGTAATAAATCTCCTTGTTTGGTCTTCTATTTGTCTGCAAGCGAGCGCAATTGTGTTGTTTTCGCGGCTTACGATTTCAGCACCAGGCAATAGTACAGAAGAGGCAGTGGCGAGAGGAGTGGATGCTTTGGCACTCGTATTTGCGGCGACGGCGCTGCCCTCCGTATCAGCGCTTAAACTGCTTGCACTGTTGTTGTTGGATCCAGAGCCAGGAACGTCCTTGCCAAGGGCAGCGATGACTTCTTTCAGAGTTATATCACTTTGGTCCAGGAGAGGGAGAAGCTCGCGCGTGGCGTCGACGGAATAAATGGGCGATGACTTATTGAGAAGACTACCCAGATCGCGGGCTTCCGTGCGGAGATCTTTGAGGACAGCGTGCAACGAGCGGCTGGCCACAGCAAGGCCAGCGTAGCTTGGTCCAGTGTCGCGTAGGAGGCGATAAAGGAACCTAGCCTGGGCATCTATGGCTTCGATAGCGGCAGCGTTGCTTGCTCTGCCAGCCGTCATGGCCTGGTAATGCGGCTCTGTGTCGGCTCAAGGTTGGTGGCCTTGCTGATAAATGGGCACGTCTTGAGCTTGTGCAGGGCGTATTGGTGGGCGTTTTCTCTCGGGGAATCGGAGAGGTGTCGAACAACAAAGACAGTGCGACGCGAGGCAAGGGGAGGAGGGGGGGAAAGAACCGAAGGATGGGATATCAGACCGAACAAAGCTAAAGAACAAGGGGGGGGACTGGCCTTCACGAGAGGTCAGGACGGACGAAACAGGCAACACAGGCCTCTGCGAATGACACCCGCCAGTAACGCCGTGACAATCGAGAGTCGTGACGTTACACGTGTTGAGTTTTTGGTCCGGGGCCTTGTCCAGATGGGCTAGATGGGCTCGATGGGCTGGACAGGCTCCGGGGCTGTGAAAAGCGTGTGTGCGATCGATATCCCACAACACGAGGAGTCAGGGAGTGTGGCTGTGAAAAGAGGGCCGCTCAAAGGGTCTTTATAACCAGGCTCGCGGCCTAGGGCTGTTTGTTCCAATGAGACGAAAGAATGAGAAATAAGAATGAACGAACAAATGAAAGTAGAGAGTGCAAAGCAGCAAGGAAATAACAGTCAAAACCGACGATTAATAGTGGGCGGCGACAAACAACATCAAGACTTGGCAACGGAGGGCGGCGATCGTTTCTCGGTTTGGGCGTCGGCCAGGGGGGGGGGAGTTCATAGGTATGCCGATGACTTTGCACAAACATGAAAAAGAAATAGACAAGCGAGACGAGGCGAGACAGGACGGGGCGAAAAGGAGTGTGAGACGTGATAGATGGTAAAAACGGATCGGCTGGCCAACATCAAGATGCGGAAGGTAGTGGTAAGAGAGCCAGAAGCGAAAAACTGTTGCAGATTGCGAGAAAAGTCGAATGGGAGACAGGCAAACCGAAAGAGTCGTATTCAATACAAGGCGGATGGGAATGTATTGCGCGCCGAACAGCACTTGATCCGTAAAAGCAGAAAATAAACGCCAGGCGTCACTGTATGGTGCACCGGATGATGTGGTAATAACAGCGTCGCAAGGAGCGAAACGAAGCGCGTCACTAGCAGCTGCACGTTGGAGGCGGTTTTGTCGTCACATCCTCTATAGCCTGCCGTATGATCTCCAAAATTCAAGAGAGTCCACTGGAAAAAGAGGGCTGCAACTCTGACTGGCTGGGGCCTGATTGCAAGTGCAGAGCATTCCAGCTAGTCAAGACCACAGAAACTCGCTTCGAAGCGTGCCTTTGGTCCAGAAGAGGATCAGAGAATGGCTGGAGGGTGCATGCGTTTACCCGGCAGGGGTGTGCAAATGTGTGTCGCTGGGGACAGACAGACAGCCTCGGCGGGTAACTGCGAACGAGGGAAGACGAAGACGTAAAATGTGACACTTAAGCCCACCAGCCAGAAGCAGGATCCCAAAGTCCAACGCGTGCCCAACTCTGTTGCCCCCACCTGGTCCGGCCCGGTCGCCAACTGCCGCGCTCCTCATAGCAGCGACGCAGACGACAAACGCTGTCTCAGGCACCCAAAATCATAGACAAACACAACGAACCAAAAGACCAAAGAGTGTCTACGTGCGAGGCGAGTCTGGAGATCAGACCAAGTGTGAGGCTCTGCACTGTAAAGACGCTTGTATGTCGTACTCCACAAGGTGGCTTCGAAGAAGACTTGGCTTCTCCGGAGATTGGGAGAGATTCTGGCGTGGTTTCCTAACATTCAAGCCTCTCAGTGACAAAATGGCTTGGTCCTGGCCTATCAACAACTTTGAGCACGAAGCGGGGGACATGAACAGGGGTTGGGTATAAGTTTCCTCATGTGCTGCTGTAGTGCTGTAGTGGAGGGGGTGAACGCCTGGACAGTGACGTCTTGCGAGAGCGCAGGCATTTGTCCGTGGGGCGTCCCCCAAGTGAGCAACATCGTTTCGCTGTTTCAATAGACAGGGCTGTCCAATGAACGTCTGTTTGGTGCAGCGCTTCGGCAGCCTTGACAGAGGCTGATTGGTCATAGACAAGACTCCGGATGATCAAAGTGGTGCAAAAGACACTCGAATATTTCTTCTTGCTGTTGGCTGCATAGGAGTTGGTGTGTGGTCCCCCCCTCCCTCGTCGCGCTGCGCTGTTAGCTGCATATCGAGGGAGGCCTTTGGCGATATTGGCCATGGGGCTGCAAGTCTCATGGAGGGCAGCAGCCAAGCCACCAAACTTGAAGCCCAACTTCCGCTTGGTTGAGGTTGGAGAACGATTTGCCACTCCAACTCCGCCTCTCTGGCCTTGTTTTGTCCCCTGTCCAACCATGACCCCCGCGGTGCCTCGAAGCATACAATACTTCTCGAAGCCAGAAACAGGCTGCGCCACCACGGCTCACTTCAGTTGGCCTGGCGGAGGTCGCGGACGCACTCGAAACCGCACGTTCTTCCAAAGGACCAGAACGACCTCGAACCAGCGCTCCAGCCTCACTGCGTCAACCAGTGGTGGCCTCGCCCAGTGCATGTTTAAACCCCTTGCTCGAACGCCCTTGATTTGATGCGCCAGCGTATTCAAAGTAGCCGATTTTCTGCGAACGGTTCCCACCTGTCAGCTTCATTCTTTGTACTTCCGTTCGATTATGGGGGCTTGTGCTGTGCTGATTCGTTGGGTCAGCCCGCTGCCGCCCGCCAAACTAGGCCATAGGTGACGCGCATTTCGGGCTGCGCTGTGCTTTGCAGCAGAGCTTGTGCTGGGGGTCTCCTGTGCTGCTCCTTTGTTCCATTTGACTTCTCTCTCGGCTTCTAGTCCAGCTTGGGCTCCTCTCGCTCGGTCTGTCGTTTCTATCTGACTCAAACTTTGGCTGGTCCTCGTTTTGGCAGAGACACTTTGCTGGAGCTCATCCGGCCAGTGAACTAAAGGCCCGCTTGAATGACTTGCATGTGGGCAACGCGAGGATTTCCCAGGGACATGCTGCGCCTCGTGCCGTCGGGGGACACAAAAGAAATGCGCTTTGAGCCAGAGAGCCGGTCAATCAGAAAGGGGATGGTTGTAGTTGGATGCTGGAAACAATAGTTGGGGCGGGCATATCTTACATTCCGCACTCAGCAATCAAAACATTGTCTATCCCTGATTGCTGCCCGAACAAGAAGGCGAAGCTGCCTTGTCGTCTACGGCGGGCAGGAGCGATCAAAGGCAGACACCGTGATAGCAAGTGTGATAGGGGCAGGCAAAATATGCCAAAAAGCGCTCGGTAAAGGAAGGCACAGCCGAAGGCAGGCGCGATCAACCATCGCACAAGTATGTGACTCGTCTGGCAAGCACGACCCAGACGAACCAGATGCAATCACAACGGCACAAGGAAGCCGCAGTCAGCGCGAGAAAGAGTCGCTGATGGGTCGTTTGGCAGAACATCATGCAAGACAATAAAACTGTTACACAATGAGAATGGAAGTATGCCGCGTGAAAAAACGAGAAAAAACGAGGCTGGCGGATGTGATGCATGGCATCGTAGGCAGCAGCCAAAGCGAGGACCACAGCGAGGACCAACGCCATGCGAGCAAGCCAATAGGCGTCGTTTTGTGGCACATTGCAGTTCCTGGCCGCGAGCGGGAAGCGGAAACAGGCGTCGTGCATAAATGCAACCGTGATACAGAGGGCCATTTTCGTTTGTGAGGCGAGACATGCGGAGACATGCGGCCGCTTTTTGGGTCGCTTTCGAACTGACATGTTCGTGTGATTATGCGTCTCCGACGCAGGTGCTTTGAATATTTTTCAAAATGGAAAGATGTCACACCAAAGTGAAACTGGCGATGAGAAGATATGATTCACGATTTACAATAATTCAAGACGACTCTGTTCATGACTGCTGCACTTGGCTCTATGAGACTCATTGCAGAAGATAGAGATAAATCTGTCAAAATTGCACGCAAAAGAGGTCCAACTTATGTGTTGTGAAGCAGATGCTCTACTGTACTGTTCCCAAGCGTTTTAGATGTAATGCAAAGCCCATTCCGCTGCGTCCTGTGGTCGTGCCGTGGACCTCCTCAAAAGACAATCCGCTCCAGCGTGTACGCGCCCACCTTCTTGCTCGTCAGGTGACCAATCTCGCGCTTCGTCCGCTTCACAATCTCACCGCCGTAAACGACCTTGGTGGCCGTCACATCCGTATGTCGCGGGAGGCCCGTGGGCGCCCGCAGGCCCAGCGGCAGACCGCTCACGACAGACGCCGCGGCCGGCGCCGCCACCGTCTGGGGGCGCGCCTTGGCCTCGTCGCCCTGGCTGTTCTTGGCCAGGTGCGCCGCCTTCGAGGCGATCTTCTCGACGCCCATGCCGTAGCGCACTGCCTCGCCGACGAGGCCGCGCAGGTAGAGGGCTTCTTGGACGCCCTCGAGCGCCGCGCTGACCTGCCACTTGAGGAGGGCAAAGAAGTCGCCGCCCGCTGCGGCCTCGGACCCAGCAAACGATGGAGCGTCGTCGTTGGATGCAGCAGCAGCAGCAGCAGCAGCAGCAGCAGCGGAGGCAGCGACTTCCTCGTCGTTGATGAGCCACTCGCCAGGCCGCACCGCGTCAATGCAGCGGCACAGCAGGTCGGCAATCAGGCGGATGCTGTAGTTGAGCGGCGTCGTGTCGGCAGCAGCAGCAGCAGCACCAGAGGCGGCGCCGTTTGGGTTCGTCGTCGACGGCTCGTCCACGTCCATGTCCATGTACCGCGTCGCCCAGCCCTGGTCCACCATCTGCTTGCGCAGCACCTCAATCAGGGCGCGGATCTCGTCTGTGCGGAAGATGCGGCGCAGGCCCTGCACGGTGGCCATGGCGGGGCAGCTGCCGAGCTTGCCAATGGCAATGTCGAGGGCCAGGTCGCGCGGGTCGTTCTCGACGTGCTGCAAAAAGTACTCGGCAAGGTGCAGCTGCTGGTCGAGCTCGTCCAGCTCCAGCTGCTCGGGCGGCGCTGTCTTGTCGCCGCTGTACTCGGCGTCCGCCTCGCCTTCGCCCTCCGCTGCTGCATCGCCGCTGCGCAGCAGCGTCCCCTCCAGAAGCTTAGGCTGCTCAGCCGGCTTGTCCACGAGCTCGAGGCTGCGCATCAGCAATAAGGTGGCGCTCAGCAGCTCCGTGGCGCCCAGCTTCGTCTCGTACAGCCAGCGCAGCAGCAGGTCCAGGCTGGGGTCGACGTGCGCCAGCACAGCCGGCAGCGACTCGCCCAACAGCTGGTCGTCATCGTCGACGTCCCGCAGAGACTCGCGTAGCGCGGACCGCGTGTTGGCCACGGAGAGGTGGCCCGCATCGACGAGGTAGTTGAGGATGTCGCTGGAAGGCACCTTGCACCGCAGCCGTAGGCGGCCACCGGCCTGCTCCTCTTTGACTGTGAAAATGCGGCTGATGGCGTAGACGACCCAGCGACGGTCGGCGAGCGGGTACTTGCCACGGTGTGTTGAAGAAGACGGCGGTGGAGGGGTGGTCGTGCGTACGTTGGTAGTGTTTCCGTTCGTAAGCCCGTTCGTAAGCCCGTTTGTTGTGCCATTCGGGAGACCGTTCGTAGCGGCGTTGCCCTCATCACCATCTTGCGTCTCGTCCATAGCGTCGACAACAGCCGGCGCGTCGAGGGGCCGTTGCCAGCGCCAGTCGCTAAGAGACTGGATGCCGAGCCTCTCAGCGAGCAAATCGTCGAAGCCCGGGATGTCCTGTTCCGCGAGCAGAGCATCGGCGCTCTTGGCATCCTCGTTGAACTGGGCGAGGTAGCTGGCCGACATGGTGCCGGGAAGGTACTTCTTTGGCAGTGGAGCAGACTCCGCGCTCGTCCTGGCGTCGACAAGCGACGAGCCACGGCCAACTGAGTCGATCAGCAGCCCGTCCGCGCGGCGTTTCTTGCTTCGTGTGCGCGGTGGCTCCAGCTGAACGGTAACGAGGTTCGAGTCCAGCAGAGCGACGGCTAGCTCGAGCTGGGGGAAGAAAGAAACGAAAGAGCAGGCACGGCTGCCATTGCTGTCGGACTTGGGTGCCTCGCCCCGGGAGGACTTGACCGATGCCTGGACGTCGAGGGCGGTCGAGGCCTGAAGGGATTTGAAGAGGGGGTTGTAGACGGAGAACGAGGTCGCGGTAGCGGCGAGGATGCTCGACTTGGACAGGCGCAGGAAGGAGGTGACGCCGGGGATGGCAATGCTGCTGACAACGCGGGGGACGCTCCGAGTCAGGTCGTACGACAAGATGCTCTCACCCTCCAGAGCAGACAGAGACCCAGACAATACATCCAGGCGGTAGGTCGGCTGGCTGAGGACTACGTCGTCCGTAGTCTCATCGGGCGTAGGGGTGGGGAGGCGGATGTAATGGGCCTGCAGGAGGACGTCACGTTCCGAGTCGGCAGACAGAATGTGCAGGTAACGAGCGGCACCATTGCCGACCTGGCCGCCAGTCACAGTCGTAATCACAAACAAAATGTCCGGGTTGAAGCCGCCCTCGGAGTCGATCGTCTGCGAGAAAATGCCGGACAAATAATCGCCCAATCCCAGGCCCTTGACGACATCAGAAGCGAGGCCCATCTGCACAAAGTCGACCCGCACGTTCGAGCCACGTGGCACAGGGTCCTGCGACAGCGAAGCAACCGAGGCCTTGTACTTCTCCTTGAGCGTCTCGCCGTCGTAACAGGTCACCTGGCCGTCGCTGTAAACGGCCAGCAGATCCACCGCCACAGACGATGCGGGCGCGTCTGCCTTCTTCTCGGGCAGAGACAGAGTGTGTAGAGCGACGATGTCACCTGTGCGGCCCAGGCTAGCCGTTACAGACTCGGACGCCGTGGCACCGGCTCCCTCGACGGTATCCTTGAACAGTGATAGTTTCCGTGCCGGCTCGCGGGTCGCAATGTATGTGTAGCGAGCCACGGTGGCGTCTCTGCTGGACGATGAACGCAGGCGGATGGAGCAGGGGACGCAGGAGAACTTGGCTTGCGGAGGGATGGGGTAGGATGTGATGAGACGAGACGATGCGATCTGTAGCCAAGAAACAAAGTCAGCCAAATGCAAAAAGTCAACAAAAGCAGTCGGAAGGCCAAAACGGCAAAAGGGCACAAACATCGTAGATATTTGCAGACTCGCCGTCGATGCCGACCACCACCTCGGCCCGTCTGCGCTTCTTGACGCCTGGCCGCTGGCCGTAGACCTCGCCGACGACGCTCTTCCCGTCGACCTGGGCCAGTGATCGTGGGAGGCTGGCGAGCACATAGGGTTTTTGGATGTGGAAATTGGACGTCATCTTTGCTTTGTGAGGCCGAAAAACACAATGCTGAAATTGGAAGGGCGATCAGAGGACGGCCAAAAACACTGAGACTGCCAGATATACGGTCTGGGGGTGTATTGTGTGTTTGTTTGGTCGTCCGTCCGGATGCTGCGAAGGTGAAGAAACTGGCGCGGTGAAAAGCTTCAAATTGGCGGCAGAAAAAAAGTTAGGTCTATCAAAAAAAAAAAGTTGCAAGTCGTTAGCGGCCCGCAAAAGTCGGCGTCGATAGCGTTCAATTGGACAGTATTCACAACTAAAGTCACTGTAGAAATAGCACTGTGTATCCCAGAGCACGTGCCTGCGCCTACTTGGACCCACTGTATCTTAGGGATATACGCGCTTTCCACGCTCCGCCATTCGCGCCTTCTCTCAACGCGTCTTGCTGCTAAATAGGTCGAGAGAGGGCAACTACGTCCCACTACAACTGCCACCTGAGAGCAAGACCAGAACAAAACTTCCAGAGCAAGGACGTTCAGACGGAAGCAAGACAACACATCTACAAACACGCATTCGGAGTCCACCAGCTATTCGTCAGCATAGAAGCAACATCAATACAAATACTCTACGAATATCACACAGTGTGCAAGAAGTACACCTGACAGCACAGTCGATACGCCGATGCAGAAACCAGCATCATAACCGATCCATTGGAAGGAAGCAGCTGGTAGGGAGTCGTGACCGACGGCGAGGTACGCATTGCTTGGTTTCCTGCCTCAGTGTCATCCAGGGCGGGCGAGACACTCCATGAGCAGCTGCAGGAGCTCGGCTAACCACTTGTCCGGTGTCTAGATCTATGTCGTCTGCCGCTGTTGTCATCATGGCCAGCGAGCCGCCGGGCGGCGGTCAGCAAAAGAAGCTGCATCCGCTCTTCGCGCCGTCAAAGCCGAGCCGAAACGACAATGAGGGAGTCAGTGCGGCGGGAAGCCAGGGCGTATCCTTGCAGGCAGAACCTCAGCAGGCTTTTCAACAGCAGACTCTCGCATTGCAGCCAAACCCGGAACAAACTGTTCCTCTTCCGACCTCACAGATGCATCCTCGGGAGCCGACTTCTCTGTCAGCAGCTTATATCTCCGTCCCACTGCCTCCGTTGCCTGCCACGGTCCCGCATGAAACGCCCGCACTTGCACCGAATGTTGCGGCGGCACCTGCACCTGCAGAAACACTGGCGGCAGTCCCAATGAACGCATTCCAAAAACTGCAGCAACCAAAACGGAAGCCAGAAGCTAGCTTGGCTGACGAACGCTCCGAGTCCATCCCACCAGCCGCCGAGCCGAAGCGCCGTGGTAGGCCACCCAAGAAACGAAGGTCATCGCCCCCGGCACAAAACCTGGCGGGCCTAGCACCGGTCGTGCCGGACACCAGCTCGCCCTCTCCTCTCATACTCGGACTCGATAACGGCGAGACACTGGTCGGGGGACTTACTGACAGCTCTGGCCTGCCGAGCACTGCCCAGTCAAGTACGGCCGCGAGCACACCCGCGATAGAGACGGGCAACAGCACGGCCCCGGCAGAACAGCCAAAACGTCTGTTACAGTTCAACCCGAAAACAGGAACTATCGGCTCTCCACCAAAGCCCAAGGAAATGTCTGTCACCAAGTCTGGCAGGCCAAAGAGGAAATCAGGCGGCACGAGCGCCATCCCAACACCACTTATCGTCCCGTACCCATCGCAAGATCCGGAGTCCCGGGCGCGTATCAGCAACGTGATCGCCTCCATCTTAAATGACGAACACAGGTTATTTCCTTTGCGACCGCCTGCTGCAGGATCTGCAAATGGCAAAGAGGGAACAAAACCTGCTAAATCTACCGCTGTTGCGGCTGCCAAACAACAACCCGCCGCCACTCCCGCAACGCCAAAACCGGCAACCAACACCTCTTCAAAGAACACCCACCCATTCTTTACAGGCGGTGTCGCAAAGGTTTCCGCTGCAAAAGATGCCACCTCAAACACCCCTACCACAGCCAAGTCTTCTGCTGGCGGAAGCTCCATGAACTACTATACCTCGACGCCCTGCTCGCCAAAGCGGCGTGGCCCTCAACCGTCGTCCGGGTTTAGGATGCCTCAGTTTGGCACCAAGAGTGGCATGTTGCGCGTGCCGGGGGCATGCCACCCAGCTTGGCCGTGGAGGGGGGCCGTTCACGTCCATCCCGAAGGAGATACTGATCCTACAACGGTTCGCGCTGCCATGCCTAGCTCTCCCTCGTCGTTTCTCCCTCACAAGAAGCGAAAAGGCTACGCCGTTACGATCGGTAAGGGAGAGTCCATCCTAGAACAGCAGTTGCAAAGCTTAGGTGTCAATCTGGTCATCCAAGATATCCGTAACGCCAACTCCGACGAGTTTACTCCTGCCCCGCCGGAGCTTCGCCTCCCCCAGAAGCATATTGAGAGCGGCCCTAAGCTGCAGGCTCGCATCACGCCGCAACTGCGCACAAATCATCCGGGCCTTAAATCTCTTTTCGCTTCGATCGCAACGACGTTGTCTGCATTCGACCAACACCACTGCGAATCTTTGAGCTGGGCCCAGAAATACGCTCCGTCCTGCGCCGTTGAAGTCTTGCAGTCTGGCCCGGAACCAATCATTCTCAAGAACTGGCTGGAGGCCCTCAAAGTCGTTTCTGTCGATACGGGGTCGGCAGAGCCCGTAGAATCGAAGGCAGCAGCCGCAGCCGCAGCAAAAGGACGGACGAAGCGGAGGAAACAGAAGAACAAGCTTGACGGCTTCATTGTTTCTAGTGACGACGAAGACGACAATGGCGAGACCTCTGACAACGAGGCCGACTGGTCGCCCAGCGGCCGCCATGGCCTCTTGAAGAAGACAGTCGTCCGTGCGGGCAACCTGCTTGACAAAGCTGGCCGTGCGGGTGCTAGGCTCACCAACGCCATTGTCATCAGCGGGCCCCATGGGAGCGGAAAGTCAGCAGCAGTCTATGCTGTCGCCAAAGAGCTGGGATTTGAGGTCTTCGAGATCAATGCAAGCAGCCGTCGGAACGGCAAAGATGTAATTGACCGCATCGGCGACATGACCAGAAACCATCTCGTCCAGCACAAAAACAAGAAGCTGTTCAAAGCGACCGCGCCGACTGAGCCCATCGATCTCGTGGATGACTATGAGCCGGATCTGGAGGATGCCGATGGCGATCCGGACCCGGACTTTCCCATGGCCGAAGTCGAGATGGCCCCGGCCGCCCCTAACAAGAAGCAGCCGACTATGAGTTCGTTCTTCAAGCCGCAACAGCCACCATCTACGACCACGAGCACAACGAAGAGGACAGCCCAGACGACAGCCGAAGGCAAACCGGGCCAGAAACAGTCACTGATTCTTCTCGAGGAGGCAGACCTGCTGTACGAGGAAGACAAGCAGTTTTGGGCCACGGTTATGAGCCTCATCGTGCAATCAAAGCGGCCATTTGTCATTACCTGCAATGACGAGACGCTGATCCCGCTGCACAATCTGCGACTGCACGCCATTCTCCGGTTCACACCTCCGCCCGCTGATGCGGCCATCGACCGTCTCATCATGATTGCTGCCTGTGAGGGTCACGCCATTCAGCGCAAGGCCGTGCAGTCTCTTTACGAGGTGCGCAATCGCGACTTCCGGGCCTCGCTCACCGACCTCCAGTTTTGGTGCCAGATCAGTGTCGGAGATAGGCGCGGTGGCTTCGACTGGTTCTACCAGCGGTGGCCGGAAGGCATCGACCGCGATGATGACCAGCACATCAAGCGAGTTGTTAGCGAAAATACGTACCAGGAGGGTATGGGATGGCTGAATAACGACTCGGTGGCCGGCTCGGCCAATGCCCGCACGAACGCACCAGCTTCGTACCGCGGTCAAGTCGAGGAGACCCTGGTAAAGCAAGCCTGGAACGACTGGCGGCTCGATTTGGGCGACTGGCAGGACTCTCGCGCGCTTTCATCTTGGGCGGCAAGTCAGTTGCCTTCTGACGACCGCAGTCACAGGCAGGAGCTGCTCGAAGCGTACGAAACATTTTCCGATGCCATGAGCGATGCCGACCTCGTGTCGTCCATGGTGTTTGCGACAGGGGACAGATTGCCATTAGACGCGACGCAGCCCGAACTGCCGCACAAGGCGCATGAAGACTACATCCTAGGCCAGCAGCTGCTTGAACGGACAACCCCTGCCCATGAGCTTGATGATCTGCGGCTGCCCATGGCTACGGCCGTGCGCTGTATTGCGAAGGGTATCCTGCGTGATGGTACAGCGAAAACGGGCGTTAACAACAACAAGAACAATACTGACGCACGCGGTTGTCTGCGCAACCTCGACGAACCGGCCGTCATGTCCGCCATCCGCAAGGAGCATGCTGAACCACAAGGACGAGTTGCCAGCGACACGCCGTCAGTCAGACGGATCGACTTTTCACTGGCGTTCGATCCGATTGCCGTAGCCAGTACCGCATCCAGCAGTGGCTTTTACTCTGGTTTCTATGCGCCGACGCCGACAACGTCGACATCATCGTCCCATCTTGAAGCGTCTGTCTTTGATCGCAACCTGGAGCCCATAGCGGTGGACGTTGCTCCCTTTGTGCGTGGCATCGTCGCTTACGAAAGCCGCCTGCAAAAGCAACGCCAGAAGCTGAGTTCGTTCCTCTCCGAAGCGACCGGTCCCAACACGCCTGCGGCGTCTTCGGGCACTGCAGGAGCCAGCACGTCGGATAGTGATGCGACGGGCAGCGAGACAGCTGCAGCTGCAGCTGCAGCCGCAGCCGCGGCTGCTCGTCGTCGGCCGACCAAGCGAATGCGTACAACCCGCACGGCCATGTCAGCGCTCGAAGGCGGCTCACGGAGTGCCGTCCGTAAAGAGCGCTGGTTTGACGGTGCCGAGATGAACCCTGTTCTTGTCATGCGGACAGCCGGCGATGATTGGGCTGATGTGGTCGAAGCAACTTTGGCGGAGCTGGGCAAAAAGGCAGCCGAAGCTGATGCAAGAGACGCAGCAGCATTAGCCGCAGCGCCGCCGCCGCCGCCTCTGGTCCCAGCGCTTGATACGGTTATGGAGGGTCTTGTCAGCACCGCGCCGTTTCCATTGATCGACCAGGCACGGCCAGAAGGACAGCAGAGCGTCCCGGGAAGCGAGACTGGACCGGCTCGCACCAACCGGCGCCACGATTTGATTGTTTCGTCACCAGGAGGGCCAGAACATACCGAGGCAGACTCCTAGCACAGGCCGCCTGCCATACATTGGCATGAACATCCATAACGGCATTTTTAGCATTTGCATTTATTGACGTGGACCAGCGAATATTCACAAGGGGGATGAAAAATATTATGAAAAAAGAATAATTTCAGAGAACAACGCCTACGGGATAGATGTGATGTGAATGGCAAAAAAGTAGGGGTATCTAATAGCCGCATCCCGTCATCGTCCTCGCGGCTTTCCTTTGAGCCGTTCGAAGTTTCCCGTTCCAGGTCCTGTCCTGTTTCCCAATAATATGTGCCAAGGTACGTCTACCCGTACATGTTGCCCGCTCCCCTTCCCTTCTCTTTCTTTTTCTGTTATTTTTTCTTTCTATTTTTATTTTTTATTTTTTTTGGCCACCTAAACACCCGACGACCGCTTCACAGCATCGTACGCACGGTCCCGCCTCTGCCGCTCGCGCGCCTCGCGCTTCCGCTCGAGCAAGTCCACCTCGCGCAGGTGCTGCTCGCGCACCTTGGCGGCCGCTGCGCGCTCCAGGGCGTCCTGCTGCTTTTCCCGGGCCAGCCGCTCCTGTTCGTCCAGCTCGCGCATCAGCTTCGTGCGGGGGTCAGTCGGGTCCGAGGTCGTGCCGGTCGTGCCGCCGCTGGCTCGGGGCTGCGAACTGCTGCTGCCGCTGTACGTGCCATAGGTGCCATAGGTGCCATAGGTTCCGTAGGTGCCGCTCCCACCGGAGCCACCGGCCGCCCGAGTGTCCATGCGCGCCTGGATGGTGGCTTTGTCGTGCATGCGCAGGTCGTCCCATTCGCGCTGCCGCTCCTCCTTCTCGCGCAGGGCCTGGAGACGGTCGCGGTCAATCTCGTCCTGTCGGGCCCGAATGCGCGCTTCTTCCGTGGCCTGGGCGCCCAGATGGGTCGGCCGAACAGGGCCGGAGGCTGTGCTGTAGCGTACGGTATCACCGTCGCTGTCTCGGTCGCTGCCACTGTCGCTGCCACCGCGGTCGTCGTGTTCGTACCCGTAGCTGCGCAGGCTGTGCGTCCCTCGCGAGCGGCTCCCATCGTCGCTGTATTCGTCCCGCTCGCGACCGCCATCGCTGTCGCTGGCGCCGTCCTCGTCCTCGTCCTCGTCCTCGTCCTCGTCCTCGTCGTAGCTCTTGTGGCTGCGGTAGCCCTTGTACGAGAGGTAGTCGCGTCCGTTGCTCGCACCGCCCTCACGGCGGCCATAGCGACGGGCGCGGGTGCCGAGCTCGCTGTCGGAGAGCTCTCCCTCGCTCATGGGTGTCGTGTTGCTGGACGATGGCGGTACGCTGCGGGTGGCGCGATCAGCAAGCGGCGGACTCGGCACGTATGCACTGCGCCGACCGTCCCTTGGACCGAGGCTTCGACTGCTACCGCTACCGCTATCGCTACCGCTGCCGCTGCCACTCCTGTCATTGCTACCACCACTACTCTGACTACTCCGAAGACTACCCCGGCTGCGGAAACGGCGACTGCGCAGGCCGCTACCACCAATGCTGCCGACACCGCCCTCCTCATTTCGGTAGCGGTCACGCAGGGACGAGTTGTCGGACGGGCGAGCGGAAAAGTCCTCGGACAAAAAGGATGCACCAGCAGCAGCAGCCCGTGCGCGGCGTGAAGGGGGGCTCGGGGAATGGTCGCTGTCGTCGGGGTAGCCACCGGCTGGGCGGCGTCTACCGCCGCCTCCTCCTCCACCTCCTCCTCCAGCCGGGGGTGGGGAGGGCATCGTGTAGGGCGACGAGCGACCACTGCGGCTGCCAAGGCTCTCACGACTCCCACGGCTCCCGCGGCTCCCACGGCTCCCACGGCTCCCAAAGCTGCGAGCGTCGTCCTCGGAATAGTCGATGCCCGTGTAGTATTCCCGCTTCGGCCGCTCGGTGGGATGCAAGACAAGGGACAGGGCGGTGGCACCCGCGGCGGCCCCGGCAGCACCAACTGCGCCGCGCTTACTGCCACCACGATTGCCGTCATTCCCACGCCGGCCATGGCCGTCCTCCACAGTGGCGTCGCTGTCGCCGTCATCTTCACTGACACCGTTCTCGTCAACCGGCCTCTGGCCCTGCCGCGTCGTGGGCGGAGACGACACGATGCCGCTGCTGCCGCTCATGCTCACGTCGCTACGGCGTTGGCGTGGCGGTCCTGCTGCGCCGGTCATATACTCGGTTTCGTACGCCACACCGGGTGCCATAGCCGAGGGCCGCGCCGGCGTCTTGGGGTAGACATGCAGGCTCTCGTCTGACCGCTGCTGCGCGCGTTCACGGCGGGGCGGCGGCTTTGTCGGGGCCGCGTCCGAGTCCGAGTCGGCCAGGCTGTCCGCAAGACTATCGACCAGGCTGTCGGCGACGCCCGAGTCGGACACCACAGGGAATGTGCGCGGCTGGCGTCGTGGAGATGTCTCGCGTGGCGGCGGTGGCTGTTGCGGGCGTATGCGCTGTCGTCGTCGACCGCCCTCCTCATCGGACGAACTCAGGATAACAGGTGTTGGAGCCCGGCCCTCCATGGGCGGTGACGTGCGAGTCAACAAAGGTGGTGGAGGTTGCGGAGGTTGCGGTGACAACCGGCCCGTCTGCGTCCGTCTTGCAGCAGGACGTGGGGGTTCGTCCTCAGAAGAATCAACCAGATCGTCAGCGCCACCACGGTTGTCACTCTCTGGTGTCCGGCCGCCACTGCGGCTTGGCACACGGCTGTGAACGCGGTCATATACAGGCGCCTCCGAATCCGATTCACGGTACTCTGGCGGTAAGCCATAGCCACCTCCACGCGCACTACCTCGTCCTCCTCTCTCGCGGACACCGTCGTCGTCCTCATATGCAATGGGCTCCGGTTGGCGGAGGGGTCCATCGACCGTGTGGACAGTCGAGTAGCGGTTCAGGCGCGCAGGGGGCGAAACCCTGCCATTGTAGTCGTCGCCACGGCGGTCACGACGGCCTGTGGACATGGCTGCAACACCTGCGCCGGCAGCCAAGGCGGCGGTCGCAGCAACAGCGGCGGCCGAGGCGCCATCCGACCGACGATAATGGCCACGGGCGTTCCCAGCATCAAACTCTTGATCTGCTCCGCTTTGACGCGTCTGGCGAGCGTACCGGCGATCTGGTTCACGGTCTTGCTCCGGTTCGCGATATGACCGCCGTCGTGAGGACATTTGTTCTTGACGCGGCCCGTCCCGTGGAAAACTGCCTCGGTCACCAGTGACGTCGGAGTGGTTGAGCATGACATTTCCGCTGCCGTGAGCGTAGAGAGACGATCGCCGAGGATTGGGGTCACGGACGTCACCAGAGTCGCGCATCTCACGCGCATCCCGGCCGTCGCGAGCATCACGAGCATCACGAGAATCACGCAAGTCCCGTGGGTCTCGCGGGTCTCGTAGGCCGCCGGGCCTGTCCCGCTCACGCATGCTGCCGCCAGCTCCGTTGGGCCGCCTCCGGCGCAACGGACCGTCTTCGTCGGCGGCCATGGCCACTGCGGCACCTGTGGCCAGCATCGCTGCCGCAGTCGCACCCGCAGTCGAAGCGTCCCATGTAGCCCGCCGGTTTGGATAAAGCTTGCCATTGTTGCGTGCACGGCGCTCGCGCAGGTAGCGGAAGTTGTCGTCGGCGTCGTTGGGGCCATTGGCGTCGCTGGGGTCGTAGCGGATGTCGCGCGAGTCGCGCAGGTCGCGCGTGTTCCGATGGTCCCGCGAACCTCGTGAATGTCGCGGGTCGACGGCGTCTTCTTGGAACGTAACACCACGGGCCATACGAGGCACAGAAGGTACAGGTACGCCTTCGGGTCCTGCCTCACCTGGTGAACCGCGCACACTGCGCATGCTTCGGCGCCGGTCGGTGTACTCGGGGTCGTATTTCTCGTCCATCGGGGGTCTCTCGGTCTCCATGTCGCCGACCCTGCGGCGGCTACCGCGTGGCTCCGGAGGTCCATCCATCATATCCCGCGTCCGTCTGCCTTCGCGGTCCCGTTCGTATTCCCGTTCGTATGGCCGCTCACCCATGCGCTGGCGGGGCGCTTGGCGGTCACTGTAGCGTCGGTCGTCCATCCGCCGGTCGTCCACGGACCGGTCGCTGATCCGTTCGACACGCGGACGCGAGTTGCGCGGCGAGCCTCGTGCACCGTCTGCATCACGCGGGTGCGAGTGCGGGTGTGGCGTGTGGCCGTGGTGCCGACCGTACTCCTCTTCGCGGATCTCCCAGGCCTCCTTCTCGCCGTAGGTGACGCCCTTGGGCCACATGCGGTCTACACAAAAGGTCGCGGCGGCCACTGCGGCCAGAAACAGGAGCGACGTCTTCCAGGGCGACGACATAATGGCGCTCCCAGCAGCGTCCATGACATCGGGGTGGTCGCCGTGGTCGCCGTGGTCGTCGTGGTCGCGGTGATGTCGCCGGTTGTTGTCGTGCCGGCCCCGGTCGTCACGCCGACTGCGATGGTCACGGCGGTCGCGGCCCTCATACACATCCTCTTCATCGTCGCCCTCATGGTCTGCGTCTGGCCGGCGGCGACCGCTATTGTAGTGGACGACCGCACCGTTCTCGCCGAGCAAGGGCGACTCGGACGACCGAGGAGGCGTGTTGCCGCGCCGGCGCCGTGGATTGCGTGGAGGAGAACCATGTGGAGAACGAGACGGCGAGCGAGAGGGAGGTGACGATACGGGAGAGGGTGAAGGGGGCGGTGCAGCAGTGCTGTTGTTGGTAGGGGCGTTGCTTGGCGGCGCGCTGGGCTCGGTGGGTCTGTTCCGGTTGATGTTCAACTTCTTGGCCCGGCGGCCAATGGGTGGCGGCGGCATCCGCCCAGAATCTGCGCCTGCACCTTCGGGCAGTGGTGGACTTGAGGGAGTCGGTGCATCTGCCGGGGGAGGAGCCGCAGCCGGTGGCATTGGCGGCGGCTTTGGTGCGGCTGCTGTTGCACGCGAACGTCCTTGGTTTGCGGCAGGTTTCGGTGCCTGAGGAGAAGAAGGAGGAGGGTGGCGTGATACATCATGAGTTTCGCGGGTTTCGTGGCTATCGTGGCTATCGTGGCTGTCGGTATCGGTGTCGCTGTGGTCAGTGTGGTCTGTGTGATCGGTGTGATTGGTGTGATCGGTGAGATCGGTGAGATGGCCAGGCGGTGGTGGCCCCGAAGGGCCGGGTGGTTTGCGGTTCATGGCGGCGTCTGTTTACGCAGTGCGCCATGCGTCCATGAAGTTGAGGCTGTATTTGTGTTCAATTTGGGAGGCGGGGAAAGTGCAAGCGGCGATGCGAATAGGGGAAAGGCGCAGTAGCTGATCGCGCTGCGCAGTGTGCAAGGAAGGTGCGATCGGTGAAGAACAGTCGCTGTCGCACACGTGACGCTGTGAACACGCAAAGGACAGCGATCGTGTGAAATGTTCAATATGAGGATGACGGCGGACAGAAATAAGGCACAGGAATGCGAAGAGAGGCAATAAAAAGAAGTACAGTGCATCGTGAACATGAAATTGAAAGGTCCAGCCCGAAACGATCGCAAGTGTCGCCTGTCAATGAAGCGCGCCCTCCAGAGGCAAACTTCCAGAATCCACTTTCCACTGAGGGCGCCTGCCGTCCGCAATGCTGGCCGCCTGGTCTGACCGCCAGCGACCGGGAAGGAACGAGAGGCAGGGAAAGAGCGAACGAGGGAGTGCGCGGAAGGGTTCCACCTTGTCGCAGGTTGATGACCCCTGCACTTTTGAGAGACAGGGGGTGGTGTAAAGTGGTTGTGGGTGTGAGGCTGATGGGCCGCCGGCCGGAAGACAGAAACAGGAGGGAACCAGCCGCGCGTTTGCGGACAGCAAGTCGTGCTGTCCAAAAATATCCTGCATGTTGTCTACATGGTTTTTGCACGTCTGTTGGTTGGACAGACATGCACTCAGCCCGGTCGCTGCTGCCAGACGGCACAATCCGTTGCTCTTTCCTTTCGAAGCGCTCCTCGTTTCGACTTGTCACGTGAATTACATTGCCAGCAGGTCGTGCAGCTGCATCTGGCGATAAGTCACTCTTGCAGGTGAAGCAAAGCAAAAGTGGCTTGGCCTGGACTGGCCACTCACGGGGAGCTTGCGATGTTAATATTGTGTGGCAGCCAAAACGTCAGAAACACCAACGGGCCTTGCCGCAGTAACTGCCTCTCAAACTGGTCGGGCGCTAGACGATGGCGTGAGCACTGCCTTTTGTTCTTTGAATCCTTGTTTTTCATCTTCATGATATCCATCATAGCTTGAAATGGTGAAATGGGTAAGAAAGTTTGTCTATCACATACTTGGCCGCTTCTTGAGAGTATTATATGGACGCTTTGCTGTCGTCCAGGGATTCAATTTCAAACACATTGTTTTGTGCTGTTATTTTGTGCAACTAAATCAAATCAGGCACCATTTTTCTAAATACAAAAGTAAAAAATAAAATAAAATAAAACAATAGCAAAAAAATCGCCCATCGTCTACGTTGGTTCTTGTCGTCGGCCGGCCCCTGGTATGTCTCTTCATTCGCCGCCTGACTCTGCTTGGCCCGTTTTGCCGCCCGTTTTGCCTTTTTGTCGGCGTTCTGCGACGTCCTGAAATTCCGCGGCAGCGACTCCGTCGGCTTGGCCTTTTCTTTCGTCGCAAGCCAGTCTTCGTCGGCGATCTGCCGAAACACCTCTGGGTAGAGACACAGGTTGGGGTGCCTGGTGCCGATGGCGTCCAGCGTGTAGTCGCCGCCGACCGCGGCCTCGCGCAAGAAGTCGGCCATGGCGTGCAGAGCCGCCGACGGGGCGAGGCAGCGGAGATGGCATGTCTTTGCGGCCGGCAGCGACCCCACGAAGTCGTTGTCGCGCAGCATTGCCTGCTGATGCCGGCGAGCGACCTCGTCGAGGGCGTCGATGGTCGCTCGGGCCACGTCGCTGCTGTCCGCGTTGTCGGTGTTGGGGTTGGGGTTGCGGTTCGTGTTGGTTGTGCGCAAGAACAGCGCCAGGTCGCCGACGATGTCAAAGAGGGGCATGCCCTCGCCGTCCGTCGGGACGTGGTTGGCCACCAGCAGCGCCCGCGGCGTGTCCGTCAAGAGCGGCGCGCGCCGCTTGGGGTTGACGCGCAGAAAGGCGTAGTGGACAATGGGTACGGCCGACCAGTGGGCGTCGTGGTCGTGGTCGACGGAGACAACGGCGTGCCAACTGCCCGGCGCCAGATCGCGCACATGCGGCCAGGCCCTGCTGCGCGCGGCGTCGAAGCCGCGCTCAATCTGGAGGCCGGTGGCTTTCCGAAAGTCGACGCGAGTGTACTCGTCGGGGACAGACGCAAGTGCGGGTTCAGGCTCAGGGTCGGTCCCGGTCGTAGGGTCCGCATCACGCGAACGCATTCGGACCGCCTCGTTCTCCACCGCGGGCAGGCTCTCGTCCAGGCGGAGTCGACACAATTCGTCTTCGTGCTCCTGCACCACCGGGCTCGACAACAGCTTGGGCAGTGCACGCAGTTTCTCTTCGGTGACGTAGGGTGCGGAGCCAGACAGCCTCGGGACGAGGAGGCTGCCGACCATGCGCACCCACCCAGCAGCAAAGGCGGACGCTTGCTGCAGCATGTCCCCCGTGTGGATGTAAACGGGGCGGTAGAACGCCCCGCTCGTAGACTCCGAGGATGATCTCGACGGCCACGTGATGACGGGGTGGACAACGTGTGCCCAAGGATAGTTGAGGGCGTCTGTTGCCTCTTCCTGGGTGGGGGGTGCAGCTGCCATGCGTACAAAAACGTTGCTGACTGGGAAGCGCTCATAGTAGGCCGGGTTTCTGCAGATCGAGGTCGGCGGCGTGAACCAGCGGCGCTTGGTGGCCGCTGCTGCGAAGGCGCCGGTGAAGAAGAAGCGCAGCCCCTCGCGCGCCGCCATGCCGGGCGACGCCATCAGGCCAGAGATGGTGGCACTGGCCAACAAGGCGTCCTCCTCCTGGCCGGCAGCCACAGAGGCGGTATCGTCCTGTTGCAGGCAGTGGTCGTCCCAGTCCAGCTGCGGTTTCTGGTACAAGACGAAGTCGACCAAGTACGGCGACGCGGCGCCGGCAAGAGCCGAAGCCAGCTGCTGCGGCGAGGTCAGGCCAAGAATGTGGCCGGGGCACAGGCTGATGGACTCGACATTGGCAAACACCGGGCTCGCCAAGAGCGCCTGGAGCGTCACGATGTGCAAGCCCTTGAGGACCGCCCACGGCAGCGTGGTCTGCTCCGCAAATGCCAGGGCCACGATCTCGGCGCACTGCGACGACGCCGCCACATCGGCGCCCCGACGCAGAATAAGCTCACGCAGACGGCCCTTTGTTGTTGCGTTGACGGGCGAGCGAGCAACGGACGCAATCTTCCTCATCTCCATCCTCAGCGTCGGCGTTGTCGCGGTGGCTTGGCCGTCGAGCATGCGGCGGAAGGTCAAATCGAGCAGCGACTTGGCTTTGCCCAGCGTGTGAGGGCCGGCCGCTGTTGCGGACACGGGCAGTGGAGGCATCAGACGCCGCTCCCCTCGGTTGTCTGTGTCGAGATACCTGCCCTGGACATAAATCTGGCCTAGGTGAAGGGCGTCGCCGACGACGGTCATCCTGTTGGTAGGCTTCCATTGAACAACTGTGCATGTTAGAAAAGAACAAAGCAAAGCAAAGAAGAAACAAAAGTAGGAACAGCGCAAGGCGTGGAAATGCGGACACGTACGAGGCATGTGGTCCGGATCGATGACGGGTGTTTTTGCGAGACGCTTCAGCACAATACGCGTTTCGTTGTCCCACGGCGGAATCGCAATGCGCAGCGCCTTCACGTAGCCTTGCGCCGAATACGGTTCGCGCTTCCTCGGGGGTAGAGCGAACGTTTGGCGCGCGTCGCTCCAGACGACGCGGGGCGGCCACGCCACGAAGCCATAGCGAATGTGCGAGGGGTCTGTCACGTCCAGAAAGACGGTGGTGTACTTGTGGCTGTCGGCGCGGACAATCAACCCAGGGTCCTCGCTGACAAGGAACGGATCTTCGCCGCCGTCGCCGTCGACCGCCACCGCCTTGTGCAGGGCGTGTGCCAGGAACGGGTACAGTGGCCGCTTGCGCCTCGTGACCGTGGCACGCGCCACTTCGTTGACGCCGTGACCGTCCCAGACGGGCTCGTTGGTGGTGCCCAGGACACGCAGCCGCGACGGGTAGTCGCGGCAGGCGGCGGACGAGGCCGAGGACGCGCCTGCGGCAGCGCCTTGGTAAGCCTGGGAGGCGAGGCGAAGCTCGGTGCGGATGATCTCAGCGTGCTCTGGATCACTCAGCACATTGATGGCGTGAGCCACCGCCCACAAGGCACGACATCTCGTGACCCATTTCCTCGTCCTGCCGGGCACATCTCTCCTGGCCGTGTCCCGCACAACTGCGAGCTGCTTGTAGCAACCACCGACATGGCCGACCGCCACAAACGCGATTGCCGACGGCAGGTATTTTGGGAACCACATCTCGTTGGCTAGATCGTCCATGTCGGGCGTGGCCATGGTGGGATGGGCCATCTTGAAAGTGGAACCGACCGGGAGACGAGACGAATAAGAAGAGGAAGAAGACGACGATTGAGAGGTTGACTTTGTGAGAATCTTCTGGACTGGAGATTTAATTAGGAAACCGGGTGAAAGATTGTGTTGGATGCGAAAAGACGGGATGAGATGGGATGAATGGGATGCGATGTTTCAAAGAAATGTCGTTTGGTTGAGAATAGAAAAGACACAAGAAATTCGCCGAGAGGGACGGACAGCCGGCATTTTATATGTGTCGAACCAGGGCGATTATTGAGCATCGTAAGGTATGAAGCCGTTCGTGCGGGAATGACTGCACGGATGAGTATAGGACTGTGTGTTGGCTGAATCTTATTCCAATGTGGTGCTGACGGCGCTAAAAGGGGCCAAGTAAACAAACTCATGAATGCGGTGGCAAAGTCACGATATCGGGGTTATGCAAAACGACCGAACCTTACAATGAAGCGTCCAAAATAATTCAACCGCGCGACGTACGATGTAAGGTATCAAAACTATGCTTGACGAGGCGGAGTATCAAAACAGCAGACAAAAGAAATTTTGCAAGGCAAGATATCGAGCAAAAAGTACAGGCAGAACAGAAACATGGTATTGGATCCAGATACCACCCTCTGAATCACTCCATCGCCCGTCCACTACGCCGCATACGCCGGCGGCTGCT